TTTCAGATTCACTTGTTGATGGATGTGTATTTGTTGTTCATAATTTGTGTCTTCACCTTTTTCTTCTTCTTCCTCTTCCTCTTCTTAAAGGATACCTTTTAGCATTTCATATAATACTGGTTTAGTGGTGATGAACTCCTTTAGCTTTTTCTTATCTGTGAAGCTCTTTATCTGACCTTCAATTCTGAATGATAGCTTTGCTGGATAAAGTAGTCTTGGTTGTAGGTTCTTGGCATTCATCACTTTGAATATTTCTTGCCACTCCCTTCTGGCCTGCAAAGTTTCTGTTGAGAAATCAGCTGACAGTCGTATGGGTACTCCCTTGTAGGTAACTGACTGTCTTTCTCTTGCTGCTTTTAATATTCTCTCTTTGTCTTTTGCTCTTGGCATTTTAATTATGATGTGTCTTGGTGTGGTCCTCTTTCGATTCCTTTTGTATGGGGTTCTCTGCGCTTCCTGGACTTGTAAGTCTATTTCTTTCACCAGGTAGGGGAAGTTTTCTGTCATTATTTCTTCAAATAGGTTTTTTTTTTTTTTTTTAATTTAAATCTTTATTGTTCAGATTATTACATTTGTTCCTCTTTTTTTTTCCCCCCATAACTCCCCTCATCCCAGTTCCCGCCCCACCCTCCGCCCTCACTCCCCACCCACTGTCCTCATCCATAGGTGCACGATTTTTGTCCAGTCTCTTCCCGCATCTCCCACACCCCTTTCCCCCCCAGGAATAGTCAGTCCATTCCCTTTCTATGTCCCTGATTCTATTATAATCAACAGTTCATTCTGTTCATCAGATTATTTATTCACTTGATTCTTAGATTCACTTGTTGATAGATGCAAATTTGTTGTTCATAATTTGTATCTTTACCTTTTTCTTCCTCTTCCTCTTCTTAAAGGATACCTTTCAGCATTTCATATAATCCTGGTTTGGTGGTGATGAACTCCTTTAGCTTTTCCTTATCTGTGAAGCTCTTTATCTGACCTTCAATTCTGAATGATAGCTTTGCTGGATAAAGTAATCTTGGTTGTAGGTTCTTGGTATTCATCACTTTGAATATTTCTTGCCACTCCCTTCTGGCCTGCAAAGTTTCTGTTGAGAAATCAGCTGACAGTCGTATGGGTATTCCCTTGTAGGTAACTGAGTTTCTTTCTCTTGCTGTTTTTAAGATTCTCTCTTTATCTTTTGCTCTTGGCATTTTAATGATGATGTGTCTTGGTGTGGTCCTCTTTGGATTCCTTTTGTTTGGGGTTCTCCGCGCTTCTTGGACCTGTAAGTCCATTTCTTTCACCAGGTGGGGGAAGTTTTCTGTCATTATTTCTTCAAATAGGTTTTCAATATCTTGCTCTCTCTCATCTTCTGGCACCCCTATAATTCTGATGTTGGTACGCTTGAAGCTGTCCCAGAGGCTCCTTACACTATCCTCGCATTTTTGGATTCTTTTTTCATTTTGCTTTTCCGGTTGGGTGTTTTTTGCTTCCTCGCATTTCAAATCATTGACTTGATTCTTGCGCTCCTCTGGTCTGCTGTCGGGAGTCTGTATAATATTCGTTATTTCAGTCCGTGTATGCTTAATTTCTAGTTGGTTCCCCAATATAACATCGAGGGTCTCATTAGTTTTCTTGTAGATCTCATTAAGTTTATCTGCGGCTTCTAAACAGTTCTTGAGAGACCTTAAAAGTGTGGTTCTGAACTCTATATCTTCCATTGACAATTTTGTCCTGTTTCTTTGTCTCCGCATTTTGTTATGCTTCCTTGGTGCACCCCCTTGTGGTCTTTGTTCGCAGTCTTATAGTTAAACCTTGTTGTAGCTAATACCAGGGAGGGTTTGACCTCCAGGCCAAGTGGCTATGAGAATCAGCTGTGTCAGCAGTGAGAGAACTTCTGTCCTCTAGGGAGGTGCTAATCTAGCCTTTGCCTGAGGCTATCCGGCAAATGCCTGTGTGCAGGGCTTGGGCGGGGCGGGTCGCACAGGATCAACAGGGAGAGCAGTTATGGCGGCTCTCAGTCCTGTCCCCAGGGGCTCTGCCTCTCTGAGTCCCAGCACCCACTGCAAAGCTCAGAGAGAAAGCTGCACTCGCTCTGACCGAAGCCAGACAGTCCCGCTTCTCCCGTTTGAGTCAGGGTCCCTAGAGACTCGCCCGTATCTGGAGCTCAGAGTCTGCGACTCCCTCCCGATTGAAAACGCCAACCGCGCCCTCCACCGCCAGCCCGCTCTGCGCACTCCGCACCTCAGAATTTGACTTCAGCACTGCGCCTCCTCTGAGTGTCCGTATGCGTTTCTCTTTCCTCCTAGTTGTAGGACTTCCACTCAGCCAGCGGTCCTGTGGTTCTGGGTGATGTCCCTTCCGTTTTTTGGTTTCACTTTTGAAGTAGTTGTTCAAAGCAGCAAACTCCGGCGTTAACCTATGCCGCCATCTTGGTTCTCCCTTCAAATAGGTTTTCAATATCTTTCTCTCTTCTCCTGGCACCCCTATAATTCAGATGTTGGTACACCTGAAGCTGTCCCAGAGGCTCCTTACACTATCTTCGTATTTTTGGTTCTTTTTTCATTTTGCTTTTCTGGTTGGGTGTTTTTTGCTTTTTCGTATTTCAAATCTTTGACTTGATTCTTGCAATCCTCTGGTCTGCTGTTGGGAGTCTGTATAATATTCTTTATTTCAGTCAGTGTATGCTTAATTTCTAGTTGGTCCTTTATCACAACGTCCAGGGTCTCACTAGATTTCTTGAGGATCTCATTAAGTTTATCAGCGGTTTCTAGAAAATTCTTGAAAAACCTTATAAGTGTGGTTTTGAACTCTATATCCAGTAGTTTGCTTTCCTCCATTTCTGTCATTTGTGTCCTGTTTCTTTGTCTCGGCATTTTTTATGCTTCGCTGTGTCGATAGAGTGGCTTTCTGTGCTAGGTGTCCTATAGGGCCCAGTGGCTCAGCCTCCCCAATTACCTGAGGTGGACACTCTTGGTGCACCCCTTTGTGAGCTTTTGCACAGTCTTGTTGTAGTTAAGCCTTGATTGTTGTAGATAACACTGGGAGGAATTGACCTCCAGGCCAATTGGCTGTGAGAATCAGCTGTGTCTACCGTGGGAGAACTTCTGTGCTGAAGACACCCTTCTGGGGCAAGACTTGCTTCAGTGGGGCTTTGGTGCTCACTGAGTCTGCCCCCTGAGTGTGTCCCTTATGGATCTGAGGAGTTGTAATCTGGATGGTCCCACTCTGACCACTGGGTACACTGGCTCTTGGATCTAAGGAGGTGCTAATTTAGCCTCTGCCTGAGGCTACCCAGCAGAAGCCAGCTGTAAAGCAATGCAAGTTGCTGTGGGGCCTTGGGCCAGCTGCAGTTTGTTAAGTAATTTTCAGATTACAAAAGGGCCAGGCCTTTCATATGCAAAAGCTTCCGTGCACAGCTTGGGTGGGGTGAGCCTTTAAGGCTGCTCTCAGTCCTGCCCTCAGAGGCCCTGGCAATCACTGAGAGAAAGCTGCCAGAAGAGGGACTCTTGCCCCTCCTCCTGTTCCTACCTGGGGGCATTTCTGAGGCAGGATGTTCTTTGAACACATAACTGAGGGTAAAAACTCTTTCCCCACCTAAAGGTGGAGGCCTGCCTGCAAGCTCATGGCCGGTCCTCAGACCCGGCCACCTCCATCCTGAGCTGGACCCAAGGATGACTGGCTGAGCCAGGGGCTCCATAAGAAAGGCGATGGAAACCGGGGAGCTGACTCCTTCCACCTCCTAAGGGCCAGAGAGCGGGCAGCCGAGTCGGAGCAAGAGCTCTGGGAACCCAGCCCAGCCCCAGTGATGAGGGAGGTGGCGGTGGTCAGAGGAGCTCCTAGGGCAGCCTGGGAGCCACAGGGAGAGCACCTGAGCTCAGACTGGAGGCCTGGGAACTCCCCTTCCTTCTGGGGACACAGAGGCGGTTTCCAATGGCAGAGAGTCCGCCAGATCCAGCGTGCTGATGCTCAGACCAGCCCCTTCCCTCGGCCCTGTCTCAGGGAACTCCCAGCTGGGTGGGCAAAACCTACTCGGAGCTCCAGGAGGGAGGCTCGCAGTGCAGCACCCCAGATGGCTGCCATTGGCTTTCTCCCACTGCTGTCTTGCCAGGAACTGGCCTGGGGATATGCCAAACTCTTGGGGCCACTCAGTGGAGGAGCTGACAGCTGCCCTGGAGCCCCCCATCATCCATTCCGGTTTCTGAGCCATGGCAACCTGTCTCCTTTCCCAAAGCATGGTCATGTGGGGGCAGTGAGAGGCCAGAAGGTGGGGCTGCAGATCATCTTAGGAAGGACCTCTCAGTTAAGTCTTCACCTCAGTGGGGATTTTTTTAAGCCTTCTTTTCTTGTTTTTGGTTTTCTGTCCCTAATTTCAATGTCTAACAGCGTTGCTGTCCGAAAAGGAGAAGTTGTTATTTGTTGTTAGGCTCTGGGCAGCCTTGCCACGCTCCTCACGGGCATTCCTGGACTTGGTGGTAGCGCACGTGCCTCTGGCGGCCTTGGCCTCGCAGCCCCGCACTTACCTTCAAAGGATGTGGCTTCTCTCTGGCCCCATTCTTGCCTCTAAAAATAACCTTGCTATTTTGAAGCCACCTGCTCTAGAGCTTTACTCACTGCTTTCTTGGATAAGTAACCCCTCTAAGATGAGGGCTTGGCTGCCTCTGCCATCCCAGCTGTGTCCTCAGGGAGTGAGCTCCTTCCTGCCTCCCCTCCCCCATGCCAGCTGGGCTATTGTTTTCCAGCAAGAAAGGAATGTCCAGCTGGGGAGCCTCTGAGAAGAGCCAGCCTGTCACCCTCCTCCTTGGGGGGTTAGGGGCAGGTAGGAAGTGGAGCTCCGAGGGCCAGGGTGAGGCAGAGCCCCTGTGCCTCTTGTCGTTGGGGGCATGCAGCTGCCAGAGGTGCAGGTGCCTGTCGTGAAGCCACAGGTCAGACAGGGCTTGGGGACATGGGGATGGTCTGTGCTGCCTTCCTGTGCCCCTAGAGCTGGCCCTGAGTGTCCCTACCTCCTCTTCTTGCAGCCCACAACCCTCCCTCAGGGCACCATCAACATGAACCAGTGCACAGACGTGGTGGACGGAGAGGGACGGACAGGCCAGAAGTTCTCCCTGTGCATTCTGACCCCTGAGAAGGAGCATTTCATCCGGGCAGAGACCAAGGAGATCATCAGCGGGTGAGTCTGCTCCATGCATTTTGGGAGTCGGTGCTCCCTGCCCACCGGCAGGTCCCTAGACTGGGTCCCTTTGGCATAAATGAGCAGCATTGCCATCATTTCTTCCCTAAGTGTGTCCGTTCTTCTGAGCCCCTTTCTCCATTCACAGCACTACTGTGTGCCCACTTCACGCCCCATTGCCTTTGCTTCATCCCGTGTCCACACATTCACCAAGGCTACCCGCCTCAGTCCTGCTGATTCAAGGCCTTCTTCTGCTGGTGCTGCCCTGGTTCTGGGGCTGCCAAATCTTCCAAAGCCTCTCACTGGCCTCCTCTGTTCTCACACCCTACCTTTTGCCACTCCACCACAAGGGCTTAGTCCCCAAAGCACTGTCACTTTCCTCTCTCCTACCTGAAACCCAATCACCTGGAGGTCAAGTCCAAGTTCTTGGGCTGCCTGGGGCTCCTTCCCAGCCTTCCAGCCTCACTCACACCACCCTGAGCCTGAGTGCTGGTTGCTGTACATTTCTCAGCTGTCCCCACCTCTGTGCCTTCACTCTGGCCCTCCCTCAGTCTGAAACAACCCCTGGACTTCAGACTGTTAAAGTCGTCCTGCATGTTCCCTCTGCCAGGAAGCCCTTCCCGAGGAGGTGCTGGGCTCCCTCTGCTGGCCCTTACAGAAGACGGAGATGGTCTGTGTGACGTCTGGCTTCCTCAGCCAATGGCGGGCTCTTAACAGTGGAGGCTCTGTCTCACTCCTCGTGCCCACACAAGAGTCTCCAGGGCTGCTGTGTGCCCTGGCTTCTCTGTCCAAGTGGAAGGAGAGAACAGAAAGTCTCTGGGTCGTGCAGAGGCTTAGGGGAAACCCTAGGAAGGGGAAGGTGGGCCCAGGTTTTCAGGTAGCCAACAGCCAAGAGGGGCTGAGCTCCTGCTCCTGAACCCATGCAGTATCTGCCTTCCAGGAGCCCCTGCTAATGGGGCATCTGCTATCCGCTCTGTAAGGCCCAGCTGCACGTGGTGCATGCACAGCGAGCATATGTGGCCGGAGCTCAGGCCCTGGGTCTTGGAGAATCCCAGTCATCCTTTAAGGTAGAGAAGGAAGCCGATGAGGCTGAGAAGGCTTTTGGAGGAGTAAATCTGGGGTTTAGGGGGACCAGGCTGATTACAGCAAAGTAGCAGGGATTAGAAAGTGAAGCCCTCTGGTTTCAACCACTGAACGACTTCTGTGAGCAGGGTCTGTGGGCTTCAGTACCTCAGCTATAGCCCTGGCCAAGGCTGCTGCTTGAGGAAACAAGAGCCAGGTTCAGATCTACACGTGGTAGGCGGGGAGCAGAAGGGCCAGGTGGCCCTCTGCTAGGGGTGCCAGCTCACCCCAAATCCTCCTCCCCCGGAGAGAAGCAGGTTTGTGTTTCTAACCCCTGGGGCAAACAGGAGGACACTTTGACTCTGCCGCTTCCTGATCTTAACCCCACAGCCATATGATTTAAGGGTGTAAAGGGCTTTTACAGAGTCTTGTTACAGTTGGGAGACTGAGGCTCTGGGAATAAGGGAGCCTAAGGGCACCTTCCAGGTATGAGTGACAGTATGGGGTAGTTTGCACTTCCTGGTTCACACTTGCTATCTTGGTCTTGTCTGGCAAGCACACCTGAGCCAGGGTTCCACTGCCCAACTGGATTCCTTGGAAGATCTAGCCCCTCCCCTTGGGAGCTGGGTTCCAGAGACAGGTCTGGGTGACAGGCAGGATAAGAAAGGGGGCTGTTGGGTCTCCAGGTTAGGCTGGGGAGTGTGATTGGGGGAGCAGGTCAGTGAGGTAGTAGTATACCACCTGGCATTGGGGTGATGACGGTGTCTGGCATTTGATTGTCTCTCTGGCAGGCAGCCTACGTCCTGCTGTCAGACACTTGGCATAGGTCAGGGGTCCTTGGCTCTGCCCTGAGCCACCCTCTCGTGGTCACTTCTGTCTATGTATACGGGGCCTGCCATTTCCATGAAGCTTGGGTAGCCAAGGTTAATTGGGTGCCCAGACCCAACTCTAATATGGTCAGGGGAACGCCCCAAACCAGCAAACAATTCCTGGACACCAGCACAGTGTCTAAGAGTTCACGCCTCTTCTGACACCTCTACTGGGGATAGATGGCATCAGATCCCACAGGGTGAGGACTCAGTCCCACAAGACTGCTCCCCACCTACCACACTCCCACGACTGGCTATGCATGGAGGGTACCACGACCCCTCCTTGTGTTCAGTTCATTTGCTAGAATGGCTCACGAATTCAGAAAAAATGGTGGACTCACTAAATTATACTTATTACCAAGGATAGTAAAGGATCCACGCCCACAGCCCAATGAAGAGATGTGTAGGGCGAGGTCTCAAAGGAGTTTCTGTCCTCATGGAGCTTGGGACCCGCATGGCGGAATGGCACACGTTCTGGCTCCCAGCTGGCAAGCTCTCTGAACCCTGTCCTTTTGGGTTTATGAAGACTATTACATAGACCTGTTCCAGTTATTGATTCAACCTCCAGCCCCTCTCCCCTCCGTAAAGGTGGGGGTGTGAGACTGAAAGTGCTAACTCGCTAATCATGTGGCTGGTTCTCCTGACAACCAGACCCACCCATAGGCATTGCCCAAAGTCGCCCCACTAACATAACACAAGACACCTTTATAGCCCTTTCACTGAGGATAGTCCATAGGTTTTGAGAGTGGTGAGCTAGGCATTGTGGACATAAACTAAATACACATGAGAAATCTATTTTCATCATCTGAGTGACCAAATATATATTTGTTATAAATCACAATGATGCACAAGGTCATTAGCGGGGCCACGGCACCAGGCGTGTATGCCCTCAGGGTCCCCAGTGTAGCCATTTGTACACCATAAGCATCTATAGATACAAGCAGTGGACCTTTTTCAATTAAATTCAAAATATCGTGGCAGTTAACTGGGTAGACTGGTCAGTCCTAAGAGCAGGGAGCTTGGGAGGTGGCTCAGTGGCATATCCAGAGCCAAAATAACTCGTAACTGCTTTCCCCCTTCTGGTCCTAGGCCTTGACCTCTCCTTCTTGTCCAGTGGGCAGGGCTCTCTCCAAGGCAGCCTGCCCCAGCCCCTGCAGGCCCTTGTAACTCTGGGCAGCATCTTCATCTTTCCCACCCACTGGGACACTCAGGCCTCCTTTAGAGTCAGGTGGGCGTGTGCCTGGAGATGGACTTTGGCACCCATCTTCTCTCCCTTCTCTGCCTCTCTCCTTCCAGAGGGGGCACCCATCTTCTCTCCCTTCTCTGCCTCTCTCCTTCCAGAGGGATCCTCTTCCCTTGGTTTCCTCTCTGGCCTCCTGGGTCTTTCGACCTGTCAGGGCTCCTTTGCTGGGTAATGTTATCTGTGGGCTCGGGGCCCTACAATTGGTCTAAGTGCTTGGGTCCCTAAAGAGGTGCAGACACTTGCTTCTGGCTGGTGAGAAGAGCCGATGGCCCTTCAGCTTCTTTCCTGGTCTCCTCTGACATGGGGCCTCCTGGACACCTGAGGCAACCAGGTCTTGCCTGGACTGGATGGAGGGTGGCCGTTCTTTCCCAGCTTCCTCATGCTGGGAGGGGACCTCCAGGGTGTCGGAGGCACCATTTCACACAGTTCTCTTAGAGGTGGGATTTATTTAGGTGGGAATAGACAAGGTGGGGGCAGAGGTAGGGTTAGGGTTAGGGTTCCAGTTCCTCTGTGCCCTCCAGCAGTGTCAGGATTTTCTCTTCTCACCTATCTCTGCCTTCGAAGTTTGGGACCACCTATGTCCCTGGTGCCCACATCCATCACTAACCCCATGTCCACATTCCCCCGTCATCTCTCTTCCCTGGATATATTTTAACATTCATAACCTATCTGGATAATGTTAGACACATTAGCCTACTGGGCTTCCCTGAGAAATCGGAGTGCAAAGAACATATCTCATCATTTGTTTCAGGGCCAGGCATCTATCAACCTCTAGTCACAGCACCACCAACCAGGGACTGAGGTGCCTGGTGACCCTGGCCACCCTCACTTCATGCTCACCTGAGTCTCTGCCTCATTCAGGTTGGCAGGAGCTGCAGGCGCTCTGTTTAGTCAGCAGTGCAACCATAGTGCCCACCTCTCCTCTTCCCTCAAGGCCCTGTCCGGCAAGACTCACATTTGCCCAGTTCCATGGTGTTGCCAGTTAACAGCAGCTGGGCCAGTGTACAGGGGCTCAGGACACCCCAAAGGGCCTGCACCTCCCTGCCATGTTCCCTGCACTCCAATCGACATTTCTGAGCAGCCTCTCCTCCCTCCTAGGTCCAGCTAGGAGAGGGCCTTAGAGTGCCCCAAAGAGCTTTCAGCCCCCGGGCAGCCTAGAAATCCCACAAGCATGTTAGCTGCTCAGGCTACCCTAGTGAGGCCCTTTGAGTCTGCCCTTCTGCTGGCTTTGCAGATGCAGCCATGGCCTCCTTTCTTGCTTTGGAGCTCACAGAAAAGTGACCTGCAGGGCCTGTGCCTCAGGCTCGAGGGCACAGGCAATTGTGGATTCTCTCAACAAATCAAATATTGCCTGCTCTGGGCTGAGTTGGGGTGAGGGGAGTCCCTCAGCTCAGATGCTGTGATTCCTCACACCCAAGCCCAAGCCCACTCTCCTGGCAGCAGCATACCTCCCAGAAGGCCACTGACTTGACCAGCCTCCCTGCACCCCAAATTAAAGAAGTGCCTCTGAGTGCTGAGACACCAGCCCTTCCCCCGGCCCCAGGCTTGGGGTGCTGGTCATCACAGCAGCCTCCAGCCAGGTGCTGCCAGTGCAGACTTAACACGGACTTCCTCCCTAGTGTTCTGGGAGGAAGTGGACCAGTTTCCTCTGGTGCCATCTCTGCAAGTTCTCCTCCTGACCTCCCCTCCTGTCCCCCTTCCTCCAACCCTCCCAAATGTTGCAAAGCTCCAATGAGGCAAGTCGTGGTCATATCGTGGCCTAATCTAGGCCCTGGTTTCAAAGATAATGGCTGAAGCTTAGAGGGCTGGGAGCCATGCAAGGTTATGGCTAGAGGGTAGCAGATCCAGATCTAAGCCCTCTGCTCTTCCTACTCTCCCCTGCTACCTTTCTTGATGCTGATCCAGCGAGGACTTTTTAGCATGGGGATCTTGCTGTGGGTCCCTGGGTGGCCCTGCCAGGGTTCCCCAAAGCCGAGGGGCCCAGTGCCCTCACTGTATAGGTGGGGCCAGAAGTGAGTGAATGGTCTGGGAGGTCAGTGGCCTGATGTGGGGAACTTTGGTTGCAAGACTCCTTGTTTCCCGCTTTGAGAACTGTGCGTGGCCCCCAGTCATAACAAATATGGGCGCTAACCAAATCCATTCTAGAGGGTAGTTATAGAGCCAAGTGTAAGCACTGAAGGGAGGGCACTGATAGAAACAGTGACGTGCCCTGCACTCTGAGGCCAGTGGTCCGCCTGCCGCTCTGCCACGGTGGCACTCACGTCCTCCCTGGGCCACATGCACTGTGGCTGTTGCAGGGTCAGCACCTGAGCCTGGTCCTCACAGTCTGTGCTTGTCCTGGGCTGCGCTGCTGGCACTCTCTGCCCGCCCGCAATGGCAGGCTCTGACCCTGTTCAGGTGCTCGGAGGCCTGGCCACTGAGTGAAGCATGGAACCTGCTTGGACCACTCAACAAGGCAGGGTCCTAATCTCCGAGAACAGGGATCTGACCTGCTCTGTTCTCTTTTCTCCCCAGATGGCTAGAGATGCTCATGGTCTATCCCAGGACCAACAAGCAGAACCAGAAGAAGAAGCGGAAAGTGGAGCCTCCCACACCACAGGTAGGCAATGGGTTTGCCAGCTGGCTTCTCCCCGGTGGAGCTGGGGAGCAGGAAGAGCCCCTGGAAAGTGAGAGGGCTTCGGGGCCCAGCCTAAAACTGGAGGTGGAGGAAGGAGTCAGGTCAGGGCTGAGGCGGTCATCAGCCCAGTCTGTCTCCCTCCTTCCTTCTGATGACTTGGGGCTCCGCTCTGAGCCACAGGCAGGACCCACTAGAGGACAGGGCGGCCTGCTTGTGTGGTCGGGGCTTCCCCAGCAGTTTCCAGCCAGGAGGCAGGTGCTGAGGAGCAGCAGCACAGCATGTCCCTTTTCCGGGCTGTCCTGCCGGCTGCTGGGAACAGAGAGCATTCTCGGAGCAGCTGCTTGCTGCACAACATTCCTCAGGGCCTCAGCTCAGTTCTGCTTTCCACATAGAGAGGAGCCTGAAGACATCAGGCTGGGAACGGGGGCTGAGCAGGGAGGTCCTGGAGTGTCCTGGCCAAGTGAGGGGCTCTCAGGGGACCTTACTCCTGCTCTGGGCTTTGACCATAAATGGGAAAAACTGACGCTAGCCTTGATTTGAGTGCCCCTGCCCCACTCCCATGTGACCAGAGTGGGAGGGGCTAGGGTGTCTCACCAGTTCCAGTCCTTCCGCAGAGGTCACTGTCCTCCTCCTTCCCTCCCATCCACAGGGGCCCCAGGCCATGCTCCACACTCCTGAGGCCCTGGTGCAGCACATTCATCTTCCTGAGCCTCTGTGAATGGCTTTGCACATGGGCCTGTTGAAATCTAGTTAGACTGTTAGTGTGACCATGAAAGGAAGTACTGGGCCCATTTTAGGTGCTCGGTAAATGTTCTTCTTTTCCTCTCTGCTCCAAGCGTGACCATTACCAAGTGCTCTTGCCTTGCCTGATCGAGCCTTACAGTGACCCTAAGTGTGGGCAGGATGGAGAATGGGATCCCTTGGCATCTAGCAAGGCTCAGAGCCTGGCAGAGAGCCAGCCCATGGCAGAACCAGGCTACCCCTGAGGTTAGTAGTCCTCACTGTCTGCTCTCTGCTTCATCGAGTGACAGAAGTGGGCCTGGGCAGGACCAGGAGGTGTGTGCTGGCCTGGGTCCCTTTCTCCTCCACAATCCCCACACCTTCTGGGTTCCCCTGAACACGCATGACCTGGCTTCCTGCTGATGGAGTGCGCCGGGGCCTGCCCTCCATTCATCCTCCCCAAGGAGTCCCAGGCCAGCATCCCCTGGAAGTAATGTTGCTGGGGAAAATTGGCAAGATGCCATCAGTCATTCCTGGACTGAAAGTGGAGCTTCCTGCTGGGGAGTAGCGGGTGTACACTCAAATCCCCCAACTGCCGGGCTTGAGAGAAACAATCCCAGGCAGAATAAGTGTCTAGGCTCTGCAGCATTCCCAAGGTAAGCCGCTATCTCCAAATAAGGCACTACGTGTGCAGAAGACACTAAGCCCAGCCCTGGGAATTCGGTTGTGTTCTTGTTCCCTAGCTGTTTCTCGCCCCTCCCCCAGTGTTATCTCCACCCCAAATACTGCCAAGCTCCACCTTTTCAGTTCTTAGCAGGAGCCATGTGATCAGAGCTTGGGGAAGTGACCCGGTTTCCTGAGGGTCTCTTAGATCCTGGGGCTCCTGGGGTCCATCTTCTCACTCCGCCCCTCTTGAGCCCTGGCAGGAGCCAACTGGGATGATTTCTTCCTTCTGCCACTTGCTTTCCAGCATCACTTTTGAGGCCACTGGTTTCTGGAAGCTGTGAACATTCCTCAGGGCCGGGCCCTGGAGGCAGTTCCATGGGGGATGTGGGGCCTCTCCAGAGGAGAGCTGGGGGATCTCTGGGCAGGTTTTTCCTCCATAGCCTGATGCTGAAGGTATTCCAGTGACCCAGATGGGACTGAGGAAAGCCTATGCCATTAGGGCCTCATAGAGACAAGGACCCAGGGGCCTGGCCTGCCTCTCTATGGCCCGGGATAGTTTCAGGTCAGACCAGCACGGAGCTGGAAACATTGCTCCGCTGCACCCTGCCCTCTGGCTACTGAGGCAGGAGCCCAGGGCTCCCCTCAAGAAGAGGGTCTCAGGCAGTTGGGAGTTGGGGCCATGTAATGTAGGCACCGAGGGGTTTGCTGAGAACATCAGAGGGAGAGAGAGGGAGAGGCCCAAGCCGGGCCCTGAGGGAGGATGAGGATTAGGCTGCAAGAAGGGCACACACCTCTTGGCCAGGGCCCAGGGCAAGAGGAGGAACAGGCTTGCCCTGACCAGAGCCTTCGAAGCCTGGGGCCTAATAGGCATGGGCTCCCAGGAACTGCTTCCTACTCAGGCCCTGTTCACTCCAAGAGGAATTCTCATGGTGCTGAGACACCTGGAGAAGGGACAGTAATCTACTCTGGGTATGACAGGGCAGGAAGGATGGAGATTTTACTGCCCTCACCCCAAGTCCCAGAGTTGTGAGGCCAAGGGACCCGTCTCCCAGCCAGGTGTGCGGGGGCTCTCTTTGTCAAGTGGAGCTTTGGGAGGCTGGTCCTTCAACTTCCAGGCCCCAGGCTCTTGGTCCTTGCTCCTGCCTTCAGAGACCATATGAAATGTTCCAAAAGGAATGGCCCTCTTGGTCTAGCCCTCCAGCCCATCCAGGGCCACATGTATGCTGTGAGTTGCCACCTCTGCTTCTTAGGCATCTTGTTTTCCACTTGGGAGCCTGCTCCTACGCCCTGCCCCAGCCAGAACCCTTCCTCCCACTCACTCTCCGTGCCCAGGAAGTGGAGAGGAAGGCTTTCTATGAAACCGCCTCCAAAGAGGGGTCTGCCCAGCCGTGCGGAGACAGAGGCCCTGGCTGGGCCCGCCTTCCTCCCTGCTAGGGAACCCTCTAAGCAGCCAGGTACACAGCACAGACTGTCCTAGTGCTGATGTCCTGAGCACACAGCTGTCCAGCCACACATGGACCAGTACCTGGAAAACTAGTGCTTCCACTCCTGCCTCTTGTCCTGGCAGCCGGGCTCTGGGTCAGTGTGAGCCCAGTGCCCTCTGCCACAACGACAGTGTGACAGTGTGACAGTGTGGGGAGCAGAGGTTGGTGCCATGCAGCCCTGGCCCGGCTTGTGCACGGTCTCAACTCTCTGAAGAAGAAAAGCGACTTCACCTGGAATCCGGGCCTCCCCACCGTCCACCCTCTCCTGGCTTTGTGCCTGATGCACCTGCCCCCTGTCCCTGCTCACTCGGCACAGAGGCAGGAGAAAGCACCGCTGCCAAAGGAGGGAGAGAGCTCCGTGTGGGCCTTGGCCCTGCCAGGGCCCTGTGCTCCCGGAGAGCCCCCAGAAGCGGGAGCTCGGGCAGGGAGTGCAGCTGCCACCTGCGCTGCGCAAGTTGGGAGGCCCAGACCAGGAGACGGGTCTGTAGCTGCTTAGTGCTGGGAAATGCATGTTCCCCGAGTTCCCGGACAGGGCCCCTCATATCTCAGGCCTGGAATTTTCTCTGTCTTAGGGATTCCTGCCACTCCACCCCCTCCCCAGTGCTAGGGTCACGGCCCCAAGCATCAAAGGGCTGCCTGTGTGTCACAGGCACTTCACCCACAGGATGGGGCCGAGGGCACTGGCAGTCAGTGCCACTTCCCTCGTGAGCACTGTCGCCTGTTCCTTACCCTTGGGCTCTTCTTGACAACCTCTGCCTGCCCTGGTCTAGCACCCCCTCCACAGAGGGGGGCGATTCACCAAGGAGGGCCTCCCCTCACCGCACCCAGCTCTGCGGGAGGAATCCAGCTCCACCCGAGCCGTCAGCGCTAGTGCAGCCCTGGCTGGTGGCCCTTCAGCAGGAGGCCCTGGGGGGTGGCGAGGGGACTCAGAGTGGCATCTCCTTTAGAGAAGCTGGGCTGTGGGGCATGAAGCGAGGGCTGGGTGCTGGCTGAGGGGACAGGGAACCCTGGAGTCAGGTCTCCTTAGGTCAGTGGAGCCTCAGGAACTGTCAGAAACCATCCCTCCTTCCGAGAAGGACCCTTCTTTTGAAGGAGTCAGAGTCTTGGGCATCTCCAGCCCAGGAATTGGGTCTGCTGGTAGTTCTGACTCAATGGGAGGTCATATGCGTCCTAGGTCTGCGGGGAAAGCCATCCTGGCTTCATCCTTCCTGTGAGGATGGTGCCTAGGCCTCTCAGTGGGGCCTCCAGGATACCCAGCCAAGGCACTGCCCCTAATCCTGGGCCTTTCTCCTGCTCCTACGGTGCCTGGAACCACACTTTTCCCTTATTGGCTGAGCAAGCCTCCTCTCCCTCCCCTGTGAGGGGATTAGGGGGACTGGAGGTGGTGGTGCTGAGCCAGAGCCCAGCACGCAGCTGTGGATGTGACCACTGGTGGTTTCCTGTGGCTGCTTCTGCACACCCCGCCTGTGTCAGCCATCTGTAACCCTCGCAAGAGCCCCAAGTCAGAGACGGCTTGAAGTAGGTTTTTAAGAATGAGGCTTAGCCACCAGCATGGGAGTCGGAGAGTGTCCATTTGTACTTTATTGCCCATGTTTTGGGGAGACAGTTAAGATATACCTCACTTTTGATAGGGCCCAAAGCCATCTAACCCTTCAGCAGCTGGCCCCCAGGACCATGGGCTGGGCAGGGGGCGTGGCCAGGATGTGAGCTGGCACTGCAGGGTGCCACCCTGGTCTCAGCTCCACCCTGGTCTCAGCTCTGGTTTGCAGTGTTGCGTGAAGGTTCTCTGTGTGGTCCCTGTGTCGGCTCCCCCTCCCTTGTCTGGGCTCTAGGTTGCGGCCTGGAAGTTCCCTGTGGGCTCTGGAATGGACCCCCTGTGTCTAATGCATCCCGTAGGCATGCTTCCCCCACAGCAGCACCACTCCCGACATGGGAGCAATGGGATGAGACTGTTCCCATCTGGGCTCTAGGTTCCCATCAAACTTGTACGGGGGGCTGGGCTGGGCAGGAGGTTGTGAGCAGGTTTATGTTTGCATCTAATGACTTCTTCCTTTAAACCAGTGGTTCTCAACCTTCCTAATGCCGTGACCCTTTAATACAGTTCCTCATGTTGTGGTGACCCCCAACCATAAAATTGTTTTCGTTGCTACTTCATAACTATAATGTTGCTACTGTTATGAATCATCATGTAAATATCTGATATGCAGGATGTATTTTCATTGTTACAAATTGAACATAATTAAAACATAGTGATTAATCACAAAAACAATATGTAATTATTATATGTGTTTTCTGATGGTCTTAGGCGACCCCTGTGAAAGGGTTGTTCGACCCCCAAAGGGGTCGCGACTCACAGGTTGAGAACTGCTCCTTTAAACGGTATCCCAGGTTCATTTTAGTGTCCTAGGATCAAAAAGAAGAGGTAGGTGAGGCGAAGAGCTGGCCCTGGTGTGGATGCTGTGTGAACACGTGCTTTTCGTTCACCAGTGGGCCCATCTCAACGGTGTGTTCTTTCCTCACCTCGTCTCAGCTCCCCTCACTCTATCCTGAGCACCTGGAAGTCTGGGAATGACAGACTCTGAACCAATCACTGGGGGTCTGGTCTCTAATGCCTGGTCCGCTGCTCTGGGCTGTCTGGTACTGTGGGCAGGGAGAACTTGCATGTGTTTGGCGTTGAGGATATGAGCAGAAACCCTAAGCCTTTGCGCCATGCATTTGCCAACCCTGGCCTGAGGCCCAGGCGGCCGAGCACTTGGGGAGACAAGGCCATATCGCCATTCAGAAGGAGCCTCTCCCCTAACCAAGACACCTTTCTTTTGTGAGCCTTTCCTTTTGGGAATTCTGGGTCTCTGACATTGTGTCGTTGGTTGTGGTGTCCCCGTAGCCAGACACCCAGGCCCCCAGGCCTTCTGCACTAGCTCGGCTGTGTGCTCTCTCCCCAGGAGCCAGGGCCAGCCAAGATGGCTGTCACCAGCAGCAGCAGCATCCCCAGCGCCGAGAAAGTCCCCACCACCAAGTCTACACTCTGGCAGGAAGAAATGAGGGCCAAGGACCAGCCAGAGGAGAGCAGCCTGAGTCCAGCTCAGAGTCCCAGCCAGAGCCAGCCTCCTGCTACCAACGCCCTGAGGGAACCTGGGCTGGAGGGTGAAGATGGTAAGTGATGGCCAGGTTGGCGCACGTGCCTGCCTTTCCTGGTGCCCTCCTCACAGTGCTGGAAGGCCTCTGTACAGCGCTGGCCCTGCTTAGTTCAGCCGTGAGTCCCACCTTCAGGCTCTCTCACCTCCTATGTCCATCAGCCCTGGCAGGGCCTGACCTGGTGTGGGACTGGGAGCCTTGGGCTCCAGCCTTGCCCATCCAGCTCGGGAGGCCTGTCTATAAAGGAGGGTAGCACGTGCTGCGTTAGCCCTGGGTGGGTGTTGTGAGAGTCAAAATGCTCTGTCAGGAGGTCTGTATGTGAGGAGGCCTGTTTCCTGCCCCTTGTGCTGCTTTGTCTTCATGGCAAGTTAACCCTAAAAGTCCACTGTGTCCCTGAGAGCAGCAGCAGTAAGGGTTGTCTTCTCCTCCTCACCATCCCCATGCTGCCAGGACCCGGGGAAGCAGGGGAGAGGGTGCTGGGGAAGAAGCCGTTGGCCTCCCATGCTTTCTCCACTTAGCACTTGGCCTGAGCAAAGCAAGGCAGCGGCCTCTGCCTCCTGTGCAAGCCCTGGACCGCTCTGGAGGACGCAGGCTGGCTCTTCCTATTTGTGCTTGTCCTGATCAGTGAAGACAAGTGGGCAGTTGGGACTGACCCAGCTCTGAGCAGAAGTTGCCTCCATTCTCATTTGGTAGCACACACCCAGACTGTCTAAATTCCTTCACTCCTCTGGTTTCTCTACAAGCCTTTTGCCCCTTCCCTCCCCAAATATATTAGTATGCTAAAAGACGAAATGGCTAGTTGGTTCCTCAATATTTGCTAAGAAGTCCTTGTTGGTGGGACATCTTTTGGGGCGGCAGGAGGAGGGTTCTGCTCTTCCAGTCAAGCTCCCAGGCTGCAAGGGGAGAGCCTCCCTGGCCGTCTGCCACGAGGCAGCCATGCAGGGGGAGGACGAGGCACAGCGGGAAGGAGCTGTGTCCCCACCGCCTCCTTGGGGAACCACATGGGCCTTGGGAGGTGAAAGCAGAGAGGTCCCTGTTTGGACCTGTGTGGGCTTGGAGAAAACATCCTCAGAAACCCAGCGTGGCAGCAGGCTGAGTGTGTCTCCTACCCCCTCGCTTCCAGAGGAGAGCGCCATGAGCAGCGACCGCATGGACTGTGGCCGCAAAGTCCGGGTGGAGAGTGGCTACTTCTCCCTGGAGAAGACCAAGCAGGACTTGAAGGCCGAGGAGCATCCACTGCCCCAGCCGGTCTCCCCTCCCAGCCCCAGCACCCCCAACAACAGGTACAGTGGCCCTGGATCGCCCTCCCAGGAGCTTGGTCATCCCTTTCCTTCTCCAGGTTCTCAACCCTTGCGTCGAATGGTCTGCAGCAGCTCCCTCGGCTCTCTGGATGTGGCCAGCCAGCCTCCCGCTCATGTGGACTCCAGCAGCCCGGGGGGGCGGGGAGCAGAGAGACTGGGGTGCACCTTTGCCTTTAAAGCCAGCAGGCAGTATGCCGCCCTGGCCGACGTCCCTAAGGCCATCAGGATCAGCCACCGAGAAGCCTTCCAGGTGGAGAGAAGGCGGTTGGAGCGTAGGACTCGGGCCCGGAGCCCTGGCAGGGAAGAGGTGGCCCGTCTGTTTGGCTACGAGCGGAGGTAAGGAGGGAATTGGAGGGCTGAATGCATATGCACACACAGGCACACAGACCCCCTCCCCCCACACACAGACACGTCTCTCCTGCACACTCACATTTTCTCTTACACACGTCCTCACACCTAGTCTCATACACTCACATACTGTTATGCACTCATGCAGTCTTCTCACAGTTTCTTTCACATGTCCTCTCCCTCCCTGCCTCCCCTCCGCATACACACCCCTGTTTCCTGAGCACACTCAGAGCATGTGGGAGCCTTTCCCTCCTGACCCTGTGCTCTGGCTCCAGAACTCAGCTCGTGGGGGTTAGCATATAGGATCTCTGGGTACCCAGAGGCTGAGGCCAGGAGCCAGCTGCTCCCCATGAGTGCTGCTTAGCCTGGGACCTTGAGGCCTCTGGGAGGGTCCTCAGCTGCCAGGCCTTGTGTGGCTGGATCTTTTCCTTCCTGGCCCAATTCTGATCTCTAAAGAGACAGTGGAGGTAGGAAGACCACAGAGGTGCAGGTGGTAGCAGGAACTCTCCTTGCCATTCCCAGGTGCAGGTGTGGAGGAAGGGCAGGGAAGGGGGCCATGCCCAGGGGGTGGGGTGGCAGCGTAGTTCTTCCCTGCAGCACTTGCTTGATTCCATCTCTGAGGCCACACCCCTGTCTGCACCAGCGCGCCCAAGTGCCCCTCCCATATAAGAGCTTCCACCTACGTCTGTAAGGAGGAGCCTTTGCCTCTCTGTTTGCCCAACAACAGGGTTCTCACCCAGATCACTGTTAGGATGCTGGTGCTCACGGACCCTCTAAACCATTTGAAAGTCTGTGAAAAAAATGTTTCCCAGTGAAAAAAATTCATAGTTTTTATTAGGTTCCCAAAGAAGTTCACTTTCCAGAAAAGTTCCAGAAGTGTTTACAGTGTCCTCACTGTCCCACCAAAGCCTAAGTAAGGCTCAGAGTTGAGGCCCGCTGTGGGGACAGACCAGGGTGGCAGTGGGCTCCCCTGAGAGGCTGGACTGGAATAGGGTGCCTTTCTCTTGTGCTCCCTTCTCTTTTTCACACCTCCGCACTCTCCACATGCATCAGGGAGAAAGGACCTGTGCACCTGTGGATTAACCCCCAGAATAAAGAAAAGATACCCAGAGTGGTTGGTCTTGAAAGAGAAGAAAACAGAATATTCCTAATTCCAAGAGACAGTTGGCTGGTTTCCTGTTTCATTAGTAACCCCATGAGGTGCCTGTGCCAGCATCCCAGTGTGTAGATGGAGAGAGAGGGGCTCAGAAGCAGGTGACTCCCCTGGGAACAGCTGGAGCAGTGGACCACACCCACTGGAACCTGAGCTGGGAAGGCCCTGCTCCCATGGCATGCCTGGGGCTGTCCTTTAAGCAGTTAAGGAAATATATAACTGAAGGGACTTGTCAGGGGTTTAGGAGGCCAACCGCCAGGGTGGGAGTGGCTCCGCGCTGACCTGTGGGCAGGCTGCGAGTTGGGAAGGCGCTCATGGGGCAGCCAGGCCCTGGTTCAGTGGCAGACCAGAGAATTAACATTCAGCTCACCTGCTTGGCTTTGAACTCATTCTGATCTAGAGGCCTGGGGCTGGCAGCATCTCTGGGGCTTTGCTTTTTGCATGCTCTTTGCTACCGTGGGTTTTTACCTGGTGTTGGCACCCCTGGGACCCAACCGGCTCTGCACCCTAACACTGTAACGTCACTTTCTTACTGGCCCTGATGGCATCTGACTGGCTGCTGTCACTTCCCCAGGCCTGCTCTCTGGTCCTGAGTGGCTGGCCTGTGCTTGGTTGATTCCTGTCCCTGGTAGAGTGAGTAGCACCCCACGTTGGCAGTGTCAGCCACAGCTACCCAGAGGGCACTGAGCCAGGCCTGCCAGAGGCCAGGTTGGGGGGTGATGAGTCGGTTTCCTGAAAAGTTACGGCCTGAAGCAGTCCTCTGGGCTGCTCAGCTCTGCTCTCAGACTTGTTCCCCGGCCTTTAGAACATTTCTGGGATAGTGAGTTGCTGCTGAGCGAGCCTGGTGCTTGCTGAGCTGTTGGTGACTCACACAGGGCCCGCTCCAGGTGGTCCTGCACCCTGGGCTGGGAGTGGTCCTGCACCCTGGGCTGGGTGTGGTCTTGCACCCTGGGCTGGGTGTGGTGGTCCTGCACCCTGGGCTGGGAGTGGTCCTGCACCCTGGGCTGGGTGTGGTCCTGCACCCTGGGCTGGGTGTGGTGGTCCTGCACCCTGGGCTGGGTGTGGTGGTTCTGCACCCTGGGCTGGGTGTGGTGGTCCTGCACCCTGGGCTGGGTGTGGTGGTCCTGCACCCTGGGCTGGGTGTGGTGGTCCTGCACCCTGGGCTGAGTGTGGTCCTGTACCCTGGGCTGAGTGTGGTCCCTGTACCCTGGGCTGAGTGTGGTCCCTGCACCCTGGGCTGGGAGCCCAGAGAGGTTGACAGAGGTGCAGCGCCCCCTTCCTGTGCTGTCAGCCAGCACAGGGTGGAGTTGTCACGTAGGCAGCACTTCAAGGGACCCAAGTTAAAAACTTCCCAGTGTGCAAAGTAAACATGGCCGACTTCAGAGCCTATCCATGTGGAGAGGCTGCAGACAGGCCTCTGTCCTGTCCCTCATGGACTCCTCCTCCTGTGGTCCTGGCAGTCACATGACTCGGCCCAGTGCTGCGCCTGGGGCCTCCCTGGGGCTTCCTGAGCCTTGGCCTCAGTGGGTGGGGCTCTCCTTCAGCAAGTGGTGGCACTGAGGCCTGGAGGGGCCTGGAACCTTATCCGACCTCACGGGGTGGTCAGGCATGGGGGAAGCATCACCCACCCCACCAGGCGAGCCTTTGCAAGAGCTTCCTATGGTCCTGGGAACTCCTGCCTCTGCCGTAGCTTCCTGTGCTCAGACGCCTGCCCTCTCTCGCTGCTGTCCCTCAGCCTCCTGCACTGCTGGTCTGGCAGGCTGGCCAGGGAGAAGTTTTGTGTCTGGAGTGGATGCCACAGAAGCTCAGTGCACTGGGGCTCCCACTCTAATCGTGGAAGCACAGGGAGGAGCAGAGGGTGCAGGTGCCCCAAGTGCTGCCCTTGGTGTTAAGCCTTCCTTGATAAGGAAACCCTAAAATACCATGTTTAATGGAAACCCTCCCTGAAGAAAGCTGGCCGGGTGAGGGCAGGGTCTCAGGTTTGAGGCTGCTTCCTCTCTTCTTCCCTAGAGAGGTGACTGCAGTCTCTGGGCTCAGAGCCCTTTCCTCGCTCCCCTTGGCTCCGCCACTTGTCCAGAATGCACACCCTCCCTAAGAGGCACCTCTAGCACTTGCCTGGGTCCCTGTGGGAGGACAGGCCTCTGGCCCTGTAGCCGCCAGCGTTCATTCCCAGGTCCCTGGTGCGCCCTCCCTGCCACGCCCACGGTGCAAACTCCTCGTGACTCCGGGAGGAAGGTGGTCTGCCCTCCTCAGTGTCACCTCGGATTTTGTTTCTTTAATTCTTTGACTAATTTTGATTTACCATTATTTGATTTAAAAATCAGCCCTTTCTGTTTATTTATTCCTCAGCCTTATTTTCTTTCAGGTCTTGCCCCTCTCCACCTTCTCCTGCTGTGTCGCTGTGTGACGTTACTCGCCCTTCCTCCGCTGCTTCGCTCCCATCTCAGCTCCGTCTCCAGCCAGAGATGGCCTGATGATGCCGCCGGCCCTTTCACATGAAATCAACTTGCTTTGTTTTGTTTTAATTTGTTTTTTGATTCTTTTTACTGTTGGCAGAACAATGTTAATTCATGGGCCTTTTTCTTGCTCAATTTTGGACCTTTGGGGTGGGGGCTGCATTATGATATGCTAGGCACTCAGTGAGGATGGGCGTCCGTCCCCTCCACGTGGTGACTGCCTTCTGATCATGTCTGCTCAGGAGAGGACGCTGCTGACGGGCTGTGTGGTTGCCGAGTGTGTCATCACAACAGATCATTAGGGACCTCCAGTGTTGGCGGTGTGGGGGTGGGGGAAGCGAGCTGCTGCCGGACCCAGCACAGCTCCACTCTTTGCAGGGGGGAGGGGGAGCTCAGGGAGGGGTGTCAGAGCCAGGTGTACTGTGCACAGCCTACACCTTGCAGAAGGGGAGGCCCAGGGAAGGCTGGGGTGGGCCAGTGTGAGGGGTGCATGAAGGAGCCTCTCTGCAACTTGAAAACAAGCCCACCTTGGTCTGGGGTGACCCTGTCTCCCCCCAGCAGCCTCCTGTCCTCTCTTGCAGGAGGTCTCAGGTCATCGAGAAATTTGAAGCCTTGGACATTGAGAAGGCAGAGCACATGGAGACCAACTTGCCAGCGGGGCACTCGCCATCAAGTGACACGCGCCAGGGCCGCAGTGAGAAGAGGGCGTTCCCTAGGAAGCGGGTAAGCTCTGGGTGGGACACAGGCCCACCCTCTCTGAGCCCCACACACACCCTGACACGCTTCTGCTGGGCTCCCCATTCTCCGTTCACAGTCGTTTGCTTAGGTCTCTCGTCGTCTCCAATTAGTGACCTTCTTAAAGAAGAGCCTGCCTTTCTGCTCTTCCTATCAGAACTTGTCCGTCTCTGCTGGAGGCCGCTCTACGGCCATGAGGTCCCTGGTGGGACCAAGAGCCTCTCTTCCTCTCTGCGGCAGCCCGGCCACAAGGCCAGGCACCTCTTGTCTCTCTTTCAAGTGGCAGCCACAGCCCTCCTTTCTCCATTCCACAGTGTGGACTGCTCCCAGTCCTCCTGAGCTGCCCACCCCCTTGTGGCCTTGCCGTGTCTGATCTTCATCTTCCTCCTCAGATTTTCTCTGGGCCCCTGAGGTGACCTGCTGCTCTGCTGGCAGCCATGTAACTCGGGGCTCTTCCTTCTGTGACCCCAAGAAGCAGGGGTGGGCGGGACCAGGACTGATGGTGACTGGTGTCTGGAAGACAAGGCTGCTCCACCAGCCTGGGCATCGCCGATCCCACTGCCGGAAGCAAAGCAGAAGGCGCTGGACGGAAGTCTGCACGCAGGCTCCTGTCCTCTGTCCGCAAAAGCCGCCTCACTTGGGAACAAGGTCCCTACAGTCCTGACCCTTCCACAGCTCTGGCTGCCGGACTCCCTGCTTCCTGCCCGAGTTGACAGTACTGACTGGCGGCTACTCTCTGCCACAGGACCTCCCCAGTGAAGCCCCCACAGCTCCTCTCCCGGACGCCTCAGCCTCCCCCCTGTCTCCACACCGAAGAGCCAAGTCACTGGACAGGAGGTCCATGGAGTCCTCACTGACGGTGAGCCCAGGCGCCCAAACACCATGGCCTGGAGGTGCTGCTCCTGCTGCTTCTGTCACTTGAGGTCACTGTCTGCTGCTGTCCGTGCATCTGTGCTGGAGCTCCCCTCTGCACGGCCCTCATGTCTGACGGGATCAGCTGCTCTGTTTCTTTCCCTTTCCTGGGCTTTGTGGACACCCTGAGCTCTGAGGTCTCGTGGAGGTGGCCACCTGGCCAGGGCAGTAGAATCTTGATTGCAAGGGATCAGAGCCAAAGCCAAAAACCCCTGTTCTTCTTATTTGGGGTGTTTGTTTCTGTGACATTTTGGAGACAGGAGCCCCTCTGGTTGGGGTTTCCCCACAGAGGGAGAATAGGCCCTTGCTCAGGTCGGTTGAGCTGAGCAGTGGGGGTGCAGGTGGGGAGTGATCAGAGGGAGTCCAGGTGGCACCATCACTCCCACCAGCAGTGACAGGTCTGAAGCCTTGGGGGTGACCTGGGGCTCCTCTCGGTCTTTGTCCTTTGCCCCCTGAGGAGCCCAGGGCTGGTGTCTCCATTTTCCCACCGGGGTGTCGAGCCACCAGCCCAATTGACAGGAAACATGCAAGGACAGGAGGTTTACCTGAGGAAGTTCTATTTTTTCTTGAGGTCTGAGTTTTGCTCCAGGGTTTGGAGCAGAGACTCCCGGGACAGGTGTTGTTGGTCACTGTCCTGCCCTGCACATCTGTTCTGACTCCTCCCAGGCCCTGGAACACAGGAGACACCACAGCCTGTTTCTGCTCAAGATGGTGGTAGAAAGGCAGAGAGCAGGTGGGGTGAAAGGAGGGCTGATCTGTGTCCCTCTGAGGTACCAGCTGTAAGGGGTACTAGGCATAACACACAGGCAGGGGCCAGGTAGGCTGCAGGGGATCCCAGCGGGAGTGTGGACAGCGCAGGGCAGGAGGGACCAGCAGGGATAGCTCTTCGTTCCAGCCCCACTGGTGGTCCTGCACCCCCTGCTTCATTGTCTGTTGCCCTAGTTTTGCTCCTTGTAGGGAAATGGAGACTGAACTTCATCCTGGTACAGATAAGTGGCCTGAGGGTCTTGGCACGGTAGCTGCTGCGTCTAGCTGAAAACCAGACGTGGCCTCTGCTCAGTGGTCTCTCTCTCTCTCTCTCTCTCTCTCTCTCTCTCTCTCTCTCTCTCTCTCTCTCCCTCTCTCCCTCTCTCCCTCTCTCCCTCTCTCCCTCTCTCCCTCTCTCCCTCTCTCCCTCTCTCCCTCTCTCTCTCTCCTGTGGCTTCGGCAGAACTTATGAATTCTCCTAGCTGCCACTGCAGACCTTCCCTTCACATAATACTCTCAGTGACTCTCCGTCTGGGCCAGTCTTCTGTGCCTCCCAGGAAGACAGAGCAAGGGCCTGTCTCAGAGCACCAGGCAGCCCTGCTGTCGGCACAGGAGGCGGGCTCTCCTTCACAGTAGCCTGCCCATCCTGCCATCTCGCTCCTCACAGCTGTGCGTGCCTGTGGGGCAGCCGGCAGCACCCACCGGGGCCAGGGGGGCATGCAGGCTTATCTGGTAGGCGAAGAAACCCCTTTTCCTGGTATCCGTTAGATCTGGACAGAAACGTGTGCTGTCAGTCACCCTTTGTCCATGAGTGAGATGCCACAGGGTTTCCTCTGAATTGTTCTTTTTTCTTTTCTCAGCCTGACCTGCTGAATTTCAAGAAAGGCTGGCTGACCAAGCAGTACGAGGATGGCCAGGTTTGTATGCAGAACTTCTGTGGTTTCTGAGAGGCTGGGAGCAGCTACAGGGCCGAGCTGGCCTTATCCCTGGCTGGTCTGTGAGCACTGGCTCCGCCTCCACCTCTGGCAGACCCCCATCTCCTCCGAAAAGTGGAGGATCACAGCCCCATTGCTGCAGTGGACTGGGCTTCTGGAGAGGGGCCAGCAGGCCTGCCTGCTGCCAGGGTGTGGATTGCTCTCCTGTGCCCAGCAGTGATCTTGGCCTTGGGCTGTGGGGACATCCATCCTCCAACACTAGCTCCCCACTTGCTATTCTTCCCTAAAAGTTCCCTGGGAGACCAGGCTCCCCAGGAACAGGGAAAACCTCTGGTTGTAGGGTTGGCTTGTGTTTGCATACAAGGCAGCCAAGGAGACAGCGGCTGAAGGCAGCAAGGCTGTCAGAGATACCAGCTCAGCTGCAGTCCTGGGAGAGCCACTGTAGTACATTCTTCCCATCAGACTCAGGCCAGAAGAGCCATTTACCACTGGACCTGCCAGCCCTACCTTGATCCTGGTTGGGGCTAGAAGGCCAGACTCCAAGAAGGCTTGAGGAGTAGCCTACTAGGTCACACCAGGAAGCCTCGGAACCTTGCCCGCCCACATTCTCCCCCTGCTTCCTGCGTGGCTGTGCCAAACGTCCTCTCTGTCAGTCCTCGCGTCCTTGCCCGAGACTCATCTCCCTCTCTGCTCCCCACAGTGACGGCAGGGGAATCTGGCTGATTGGTTTGCACAGCTGGCTGCAATGGGCGCACCCTCTGGGTAACCAGCCAGTGGCTATGGCTCCCAGGTGCCTCCTTAGAAGGAAGATGCTGATTTCACAGCCACCTTTCAGCTCTTTGGGCCCAACCCCCTGACTGCAGCCTCTGGAGTTGAGATTGAGGACTGTGAAGCGCTGTTCACCAGCCACACCTCTGGGTTATGAAGAGCCCATAGCCTATGGCCCACCCCAGCTCCCCCTCCTACCCTATCATTGGGGAGTCAGGGCTTCGCAAGTGCCCGGGAATCCTGTGTGCATGGCTGCTGGGCCTTGTGGATTCTCTGTGTGTATGTCTGCTGCTTGTGGCAGGGCCGCCCGCCCTCTGCTTTACATGTGCGGAGGGAGGTGCTCTGGGACTTGGCACAGACCCCTTGGAGCAGGAGGTGCTGCATAGGAGTTGAGTCTATCTTTTCCCTCCTATTTTAGTGGAAGAAACACTGGTTTGTCCTTGCTGATCAAAGCCTGAGATACTACAGGGATTCGGTGGCTGAGGAGGTGAGTGTCTCGGCTTTGCTCCCATTGGGAAGACAGCGGAAGGGGTTCAGGTGGCATCTGGGAGCCCGAGGCTGCTGGGCTGAAACCCCCTCTGACTGTGGACGGGTGTCTGCATTGCCGTCTTGGCCTCCCCAGTCCAGACCTGGGGGGAAGTCTGAGTGCAGTGCAGCCAATTTGGGATGTGCTCACCACGGGCTCCTGCCTGGCCAGGGGGTCTCCTGAGGCACTGCTTCAGGCACCTGGGCATAGTGGGGTTGAGCAACTTCTTTGAAAAACAAAGATGTCTTATTTTAAAACTCAGGATGAGCAGTTTTGTTTTTTTCTACAAAGAGAGTTTGTGGTAAAGTGAGTCTTTTAAAGACTGAACTAAAACATCTTGTCCTTTCTTCTCTGGATGAGCATAGAGCATGGCAGGTGGACGTGGTTGGCTCAGTCGACAGTCTTGATTCCAGTCAAAGCACCACCAGAGGAGCTCTTTCCTCACCTAGGAAAACCCTTTATTTATTTAATTTTTTAGCAGTTTAGCAAATGTGTTTCTAACCTTCCCTTGTAGTTCGACTCCAGGAATCCTTCAGATATATTCCCACATGTAGTAAAAGATCTGTGTCCAAGGCGAGTCATTCAGTACTATTCTAATAGCAGGAAACTGAAAAGAACCTCAATGTCTATCATTAGGGGCTGGTATTTACATGCCCTGAACCTAAAAACCTAAGTTTTTAACGGAGTGCAGTGGAAAGATATTGGTGATACAGGGTAGGTGTAGACTAGGGTGGGGGTTGGCCCCTGGTGTGCCTAATATTAGGGGTTCCAGAAGCACATGAGGTGCCTAACCACACACTGTGTGTCTGCCACTTGGATAAACCAGCAGTTCTCAGAGTGTGGGCCCTGGAGACACTTTCAGGGGCTGGGGTACTCAAAACTGTTGTTATAAAACTAAGATGTTGTTTGCTTTTTTCATTGTATTCACATTTACACTGGTGGCCAAAGCAGTGGCAGGTGGAACTGTTGGTGTCTCAGCCCAATCGCAGGCTGCAGCCGCGGATGGCCAGCGGCCATGCATTCTTCACTGCCATACAGTTAGAGACAGTTAGAGCCCTGGCCAGTGTGCTCACTGGTTAGTGCGCTGGCCCTCACACCAAAGGGTCACGGGTTTGATTCCTAGTCAAGAGAATGTGCCTGGGTTGCAGGGATCCCTGGCCCTGGTCAGGGCTCATGCGATGTTTCTCTCTCTCTCTCTCTCTCTCTCTCTCTCTCTCTCTCTCTCTCTCTCTCTCCCTCTCTCCCTCCCTCTCTCTCCCTCTCCCTCTCTCTCCCTCTCTCTCCCTCTCTCTCCCTCTCTCTCCCTCTCTCTCCCTCTCTCTCCCTCTCTCCCACTTCCCACCTCCTCCTCCCTTCCACTCTCTAAAAATCAATGGAAAAAATATCCTCAGGTGAGGATTAACAAAAGAAAAAGAAAGTTACTAATTTTATTAAGTCTTAATCATTGAAGAGCCATCTTTTTAATATTCTGATATTCAAAATGGGAAGTAAGCATAAGTCTCTTCTGCTGCCACCCAAAGTATGGCGGCTGTGCCTGGGCACGTGCCTGCCTGCTCGCCTGCTGAGCGTCTCTCCCCCTGGAGAAAGGATAACTAACAGACAAGCTGCTCCTTTACTTTGGGTGTTAGCAGACATTTTTCAAAATGAACCAAGTGAGCCTATTCCTTTTAGGAAAGCAACTGACAGGAGTGATTGCCAGCGCTGCGACATAAGCTTTCAAGCAGAAACGGGAACTTTGGGAAACGTATTCATCAAGAATTTGACAGCTCTCCTTTTCTTACAGACTCTCCTGACCAAATGGGTAGTGTTACTAACAAATGCAGTGTTTGATCTTAGAAATGAGATGTGTCAACACTAGGAGTGTGTGTAACTCACCCTCTTCCAAAGGACCAATATATAATGCTGCACAGTTGTGCATGGGTGAAAGATCCATGCCACGGGCAGGGAAAACTGGCTGTATGTAACCAAGTACAGAAAGTTCCTTGATATGATTTCAGATTCCACTTCATAGTTAACCTTTAAGAAACTACCACTTATCAAAAAGGAACCACATTATCTGAGGATTTAAAATATGTCTTCCCCTTTCAACTCTGTTTTTGTGTAGGTCAGACTTCATGAAATATGTACTTCAGCCAAAACAATGCAGCCATCAGACTGAATGCAGAAACAGATGTGAAAAGCCAGATATTAAAGAGATTTGTAAAAATTCAGTACCACTCCTATCACTGCTTTTTTAAGTAATATTTTTATTTAAAAATGAAATGGGCTTATTTGTATTCTTACATGAGTAGATATGTTTAAATTTTTTTCAGTTTAATTTCTAATATAGTAAATTTCAATAGGTAAAGCTCACATAACTCTTTGATGAAGCTAACCTCCATTTCTAAGAGCATGAAGACGACTGGCAGCACATGTGAGAACCATCAACATAGGGTGTCTTTGGCAGGGAACACGTGGGAAGTGGTGGAGTGTCGGCCTGGTTTTATCCCCACAGGCAAGGTCTGTGCTCCCTAAGAGAAAGGCAGCACACAGTCCCTGTGAAAACTTGTCTAGTTTGACTTTTATTTCTAAACCTCCTAATGTTCTTCCCATTTCTCTCTGCAGGCGGCTGACTTGGATGGGGAAATTGACTTGTCTACATGTTATGATGTCACGGAGTATCCAGTGCAGAGAAATTATGGCTTTCAGATACATGTGAGCCCAGGGATGGAGTTTGGAGACAGGCTTGACTGGCTGGGACGTTTCTTCAGAACCTGACCCTAGTCCTGGGCACTTGTGGGCGGGCCTGACACACATGCCTGGCCAGCAGGCGTTCTTCCCGTCAGTGTTGGCGCCTTGCCCTGCTCTTCCTCAATCCTGTGGCACCTGACCCCTCCCCCAGTTGGTGATCTCAGCAAACAATTAGGCATTAGCTTCTTTCCAGAGTGTTGAGAAGCTTTGTTACTGAAGTTTTGGGTTTTTTTATCCTGGAGCTTGGGACATTGGGTGGATATGTAAGGAATAAGAATGAAAGTGTTAACTATTTAAATCTCAGAATACTAGGCTTCAGTTCACTTGTTCTTTCTTATTCTTCTAGTCATCAGTCATAAATTTGAAAATTCATGAGGTCGTCGCCCCCCCCCCCCACCCCACCCCCACCCCATAACCTTGTAAGGGACTCGGACGAGCAAGTCATTGCCCTTGACCTCAAAAATAACCTGGTTAGATGACTAAGACAGTGCTCATTGTCCATTCCATGAAAGTCGGTGGCTCAGGGCTACCTGGAGTTAGCCGGGCTCAAGTTAGGACGCATCCCCGGCCTACCACATTGCCCTCTAATGCCAGCTGCAGGGCGAGGGCGCCTCAGTCATCCTCAGGGTCAGGAATTAGCCAGAGCGCAGGAAAGCACTGGACCGAGGCTGTGGTTTCGCTTTGGGAGAAGGTACCATTAGAGCCACAAAGGAAGCGAGACCTGAGCATCGCCATCCACTGCAAGGCTCTCAACATAAGCATCCATGTCCTCGGGAACACACCCCTCCTGGTGTGGCTGTGACACCCAGTGCCTCCTTCCCAGGAAGCCTGAATTTTTACTGAGGCTTCATAACTGTCACGATGGATGGAGTCACATCCATGTAGTTGAGCACAGCCTCCAGGCCTCCCCTCAGAGGTCAGCTGGTTTCACGTGGCCCCTAGCCCAGCCTCACTGATGGCTGGTCTTTATAGCGTAGCCTGCTCCGCCCTGAATTACAGGCTCCCAGGTTGCTTCCCAGGAGCCAGGGCCACTTGGTGCCAGAGCCTATGACCGACCGGACAGCCCAACAGCTGCACCGCCAGGCTGGCCCCGGCTCTGCCTCACAGGACCTGGAACTTTTACAGGGTCTTACCTTCAGGTGGTTGGGTATAAACACTCGGTTGTACCATTGGACTCAGAGTGGATCAAGCACGTTGAGACTGAGTCATATTAACCAAACTTAAAAGAGACGGGTCAGGACCCAAAGGCCACTGTGTGCATTATAAGGAGAAGTACAGCCCACTGGGCCGCTGGTCATGGCATTTCTCCCCTGTGAGTGCCACGGCATAGCTGGGAGTTGCACAGGGGCCTGGCATGAGGGCCAGGACATGAGGTTGTGGATTTCAGGATCTTAGCCACCCCACTCTGATGCCCTTCTGCCCCTGTCCCTGCAGGAGGAGCAGACATGCTCTGAGCTTCTTGTCTTCAGGCGGTATTGGTGGCAGTGGTGACTTCTGGCTTACTAGGCGCCATGCTGGGCCCCCCCTAACCCATCCCTCCCCATCTTAAAGAGCAGGTTTCTCAGGGCAGGGCGTCCTAAGGTGAGAGGTGGCTTGCCACTAAAGTCAGCTCCCCTCACTGAGCAAGTTACAACTTCATCATCGAGGGCCCAAGCCACGCGGTTTGCTCTCCCCGTCAGCCTGGCGCCTTTCCCTTCCCCTGGATGGGAGCTTATCCAGGCTCTGATGCCTTTCCTTGGGCCTGTGGCTGAGGGTCTGGGTCACGAGAGGTCACTTTCAGCATGGAGGGCAGGTCCTGGAGGCTCTCCGCTCGGGCCACTGGGGAGTTTCAGGATCTTGAGAGTCAAGGATGAGGAATGAGTGTGCAGGGCCCCTGGCGCAGCCACCAGAACTAGTGGCACCTACAAGGGAGCTAAGTGCAGAAGTTGGGCAGGGGGTACCGTGGGAGCCCCAGTGCCGGAACAGAAATCAGCCTTGTCCTGCTGTTGTGGAATGTACTGGAACCATTACCTCGTGTAGGAAGACACAGCCAGCAGGACATGCGAGTGGTTAAAGGAGGAGAAGGTAGAGGCAGGAGACCAAGCAGGCACAGTGGTGGGCAGAAAAGAGAGAAGTGGTTGAGAGGTACTGGAGGAGGTACCCATGGGCTGTGGTTGTGGGCAGGTGAGGAAGGAGGCAGGTGTGAGGTCGGGTGCCCAGAGCATGGCAAGCCTTGTGCAGAAGTTGGGCAGCAGAGGTGACTTCACAAAAGGAGTAGAGCCTCTGGAATTCTGGCTGTGATGGGCTAGTCTCTAAGGACATTAGACAGGCAGCCAGGTGTGGGCCCACAGTTGGGAAAGAGCCTCCCGGGGGTGGGAGATGAGGTCCTGGGGCAGAATGTGGAGATGGCCGAGACCAGCCTGCAGAGACACCAGACCTAGGAGCGGGAGGCGGCAGAGGACCCCAGGACAAGTGTGAGCCGACCCCCGGGACACGCAGGGCCAGGGCCTAGGGAGGCAGCACTCAGATTGCGTGAAGGCCATGGCCCCACCTTCAGAGCACAGCAAGGGAAACCAAAGGAACAAGGGGTTGTGGGTTGTCTCTGACTGGGGGCCGAGCTGGAGGCTGAGGTCAAGTCCAAGCTGCACTTTGCAGCTCTCCAGCCTGGCACGTGGTCTTGAGCTTTGGTCATGGCCACGCCAGTACCAACCCACACCATCTTGGTGGTTTCATCTTCCCATCAGCTGAATTGCTGACCTCTCGTGGGTTTGTTTCCGAGTAGCCTGTGCAGCTTAAAGAACAGGACCGCACCCCCTCCTGTGAGACAGGAGCCTGTGGCTGCAGGAGCAGGGCAGTGGGCTCCATGTGGCCACCACCTGGGTTCCCATCGTGCCTTCTCTGGAGGGACCTGCCCCAGAGGCACTCCCCCCTCGCTGGCGTGCTGCTTCTCTGCTCCTCCATCTAGCTTCCTTCCCCTGCGGCCTGCACAGCTCCCCACTACAGGAGGGCTCCCTATCTTGACTGATGACCCATCCGCTCATCCAGGTCGGGGGCCGAGGGGTTGTCCCAGAAGTGCTCCCTGCCCTCTTCTCTGTCACCTCTGTCACCACCTGAATTCTAATTCCCTGGACACCTGCCCTAACCGCCCAGCAGGCTTCCCTGCCTCTTCTCAGTCCGAGACACACAGCTCCATCATGACCATGCCTCCTGCCCGGCCTCACGCCTGCTGTCCCTGCCTGCCTGCCTGTGCCTGAGGAGCCTGGCTGCAGGGCACCAGGCCTGGGCTCTTACTGTGGCCCCTGCCTGGGATGTGCACCTCTTCCCCATCCGCTTGCCACCCTCCTCACCCTCATGGTCCAACTCAGCCCCTGTGCTGTGGGCTTCTCCCACTGCTCCCCACGTGCTCACACTCTCCCTGCAGCCTGTGAGTTTCTTGAAGAGCAGGGGAGTCCCCCCAGTGCCAGACATGCCCGTTGAGTCCCACAGAGGGAGGTCCCGGTGATAGCCATTCCCAGGAAAGCACGGTGCTGTTTCCTCTGCTCTCAGGTCTCATTTCTCCCAGTGGCTGTGCATGGCGCTCCTAAGATGGCCGCCTGGCCACATCCTCCCTGCAGGACTGACCTCTGAGGGCGGGTGGGTGGACCATGGTCACTGATACTGCCTTGTCCTTTGTGTAGACGAAGGAGGGCGAGTTCACCCTCTCAGCTATGACGTCGGGAATCCGGCGGAACTGGATCCAGACCATCATGAAGCACGTCCATCCGACCTCAGCCCCAGATGTGACAAGGTAAAGTCGGAGGGAGCCACCTTCCCTAGGGGTTGGCGCTTCCCGGGACCTGAGCTGGAGACCAGTGCGGCCTTCTTCCTTGCCGCCTCTGCCCCGCGCTGGCTGGCCCTGCTCTCCTCTTTCTGGCTCCTGGTTTTTCTGTGTGGGATTACCTTTTCCTCCTGTATTTCTTGCACTAGAGCCACTTAAGTATCATTTGTGCCACTGTCAGAGCTGAGCTTGGTGGACTAAGCTCCCTCTGGTGTGGGCCTGGAACTGGCGCTATGCTCCATTGGGTGAGGGCAGCCCTGGAGGCTGCATTCATAAGACACCACAGCATTTACACACTCTCTCTCTCTCTCTCTCTCACACACACACACACACACACACACACACACGTGCACACATTGTGGGGGGGTGGGAGGGGGAGAGGCCTGCAACCAGGAAAAATTCTCTGAAATTCTCAGTGCTGGAGCCTAAGTTGGAAACTGTTCATCCCCATAATACTCTTTGGTTCATGTATCTCCTGATTCACTTTGTGCCTTCCTCCTCCAACCCTGAAGGTTAGAAACTTGCTGGTTTTCATTTTAAAAGAAAGAGGACATGGTTCCAGTGTGTGGAGCTGGCCCTGTGATGCCCCACACTTTGCTGCTCTCGCCTCATGCTTCAGAGCCTACGCCTGTCTGAGAACCTGTCACTGACACTTTTCAGACAGTTTGAATGACTCCTCAAGTATATTTCTTGCATCGGAGGTAACATTCTGTGACCCTGGTGCCTGCAGTGTGCCCTCTGGTGGCTGGGGCAGCTATGGCCATGCCAATTTTTTTTTTTTTTTTAAGCAAAGTCTTTTTATATATATATATATATTTTATTGATTTTTTACAGAGAGGAAGGGAGGATAGAGAGTTAGAAACATCGATCAGCTGCCTTCTGCACACTCCCTACTGGGGATGTGCCCGCAACCAAGGTACATGCCCTTGACTGGAATCGAACCTGGGACCTTTCAGTCCGCAGGCCAACTCTCTATTCAATGAGCCAAACCAATTAGGGCCCAAATCTTTTTTTTAAAGACACTGTACCTCTTTGAACCAGAAGAAAGGAAAGGAACCCAAAGTAACTTTTTTCTTTAGTTCTTTCCCATATTTGTTGGCATTGTTTGTTCACTTATTTATTAAACAACAGGATAGTCCGTTGTTCCTGAGTTGGTAAGGCCAGGAGATGGTGAGTGAGACAGGCTGTCGGTGTCCTGTGCGCGAGCACATCCTGTGTGCAGACCTGCAGGAGGCTTCCGCCCTTGTGGCTGCGCCCATGGCAGCTCTGCAGCTGCCCCAGCTCTCTCCCGCTGAGGAGCAGAGGCCAACACTGACCCCTCGAGGATGCCCAGAGCAAAGCAAGAGAGGCACCTGGCTTCATCTAGCTCCCTCCCCTTGGAGGGAGCTGCGTGGCCTCCAAGGGCCGGTGGCCTCAGGTCAGGGCCTCTCACAGCCACAGGCACTCACCTGTTCACCCTGTCCCAGCCAGCCCTGGTGCTCACCTGGGGCCTGCCCCTGTGCCTTAGACTGAAGATCTGGCTGGGATGTCAGCTTTGGGATCTCAGGCAGGGCCGGGTGGCTCAGTTGGTTGGAGCGTTGTCCTATGCACCAAAAGGGTGCAGGTTTGGTTCCCGGTCAGGGCACATGCCTAGGTTGCTGTTCAATCCCCCATCAGGGCGTGTATGGAGGCAACAGATGGACATTTCTCTCTCATATCAATGTCCCTCCTCCCTCCTCTCTCTCTAAAATATCAGCAAAGACATATCCTCGGGTGAGGATTGAAAAAGAGTGTATCTCCTAGGCTGGCACTGAGAACCTGTCATTGCACGTTTCTCCCCCAAACCGGCTCAGCGTCCTGCGGGGCCGGGTGCCCAGGGACCAGGCGTTTTGTCTCTGGCTAGGGTTTACTTTCGCGTGAGTAGAGTGCTTTGTCCCCCCGATTTGTTTTTAGCCTTTGCGCTTATTTGACGTGGGCTCCTGTCGTTTGAGGAAAATAAGGATTTTTGTGCTACCAGGCTGAGTCCCAAGGACGTATTAGAAACACATACAAACGTGAGAGGTGCTGGTGGGTAGGCTGCTGTGTCTGGAGGAGCGCTGGGGCTTCCTGCCTGGGGGCTTCCTCTGTTGGAGAGACTGGCAGTCCTGGCCTGGCTGCTGCTTCCAGTGTTCCATGTCACCCTAATGTCCTGCGCCTGCTCCCCTCATCTCAGGGCGTCAGGTCTGTGCTGGAGAACTTGCCTTCCAGTGCGCTTTGGTGTTCACGGGAAGCTTGCAGGCCCTGCCGCTTGGAAGCACTTTGTATTTCCCCTCGTTAGCTGCCGGGACAGGTGGCCCAGGAGGTGGTGGTGGCCCTTCTCTTCTGGGGGCCTCTTTCACTGGGTCCTTTCTCTTTGGTCCCATTTACCCTCAGGTGTTCCCTAGAGCCCCCCACTGGCCCTCGCAGGCCCAGGTGGCTTCCTATGTGCTTTTTGCTCCCTGGCCCCTGTCCAGGCTGCGGATCTCGGGGCTTCATCCAAAGAGCCTGGAGAGCCGGCCTCAGCCTGCTGTGACTGATGCCTCTCCTACCCAGAAGGCTTATTCCTCTTTAGGAATCTTTGCTTTGGGGCAAATTGGGAAAAGGCCTGGACTCGCTGCTGGGCATGCAGAAGTGCCCTTGAGTGGGCGACTGCATGGGGTGGGGAGTTGGTGCACCTGGGACATCTATCCGGTGTGTCCGCAGGTCCTTTCGTGCCTGTCACTCTGGCTCATCTGTCATACCAGCCACGGGGGTTCCTGAGGCACAGACCTGACCATGTTGCTTCCCTGCTTATAGAAAACGCTTGATCCCTTCAAGGGACACAGCGGGTCTCCTTCCTTCTGTCCCCGCTACCCAGTGCATGCATGCCACGGGGGCGGCCTCCCTGCGGAAGGGTTTGGACAGCGGCTGTGCCTGGTGCAGCAGGAGGGCTCGCAGCCTTGGCTCTAAGCAGGGCGGTGCTCCGAGCTTCGTCATCCCAGGTGCTCCCCCAGCATCTCCTCAGTTGGGCCTCAAAGTACCCTCCTGTTGGACACCTGTAGGCTGCTCAGGTGGCTTCTCTCCCATCCCCACTCAGAACTCTGTTGGTTCCCTGCGAGGAAATGAGGACACTGCTTTCTCCGCTCCCTGAGGGAGCTGCCCCAGAGGTGGAAAGGTCATGTGGGGGCGTGGAGCGGGCCCCTGCTGGGGCCATATGGGAGCCACTCCTGACAGGCTGTTTGCCCCCTGCCCAGCTCCTTGCCGGAGGAGAAAAGCCGCATCAGCTCCTCCTTCGAGACCTGCCCAAGGCCAAGTGAGAAGCCGGAGGTGGAGCCCAGGGAGCCAGACCCTGAGCCGAAGAGGAGCCGAGCTCGCGAGCGCAGGCGGGAGGGGCGCTCCAAGACCTTCGACTGGGCTGAGTTCCGCCCCCTGCAGCAGGCCCTGGCTCAGGAGAGGGCGGGCGCAGGGCTGCCCAGCAGTCTCTCCGAGGCCGGGCCAGGGGAGCTGGAGCGGGAGCGGGCGCGCAGGCGGGAAGAGCGCCGTAAGCGCTTTGGGATGCTCGACACAGTGGACGGGCCAGCCACTGATGACACGTCCTTGCGGATGGAGGTGGATCGGAGCCCGGGGCTACCTGTGACCCCCGATCTCAAGACACAGAATGTCCATGTGGAGATAGAGCAGCGGTGGCATCAGGTGGAGACCACCCCTCTCCGGGAAGAAAAGCAGGTGCCCATTGCCCCTCTGCACCTGTCCTCTGAGGACAGAAGTGACCGGCTCTCTACTCATGAGCTGACCTCCCTGCTGGAGAAGGAGGTAACGACCAGGGCGGCCACAGGTGGGCGGGTTCCACGCAGCGGCCCTTCCTGAGCACCCACCCCTGTGCCCAGCAGCAGCCTGAGTGGTTCAGCTGCATGACCGAGGGAGATGTGGTCTCCCCTCCAGGGCTTGCAGACCGTTCAGGAAGATAGACCCATGGATGGACAGGTTCTTAGAGTCCAGGGTAGTCACTGAGAGGTACAGGGAGTGCAGGCTCATGCAGGGTGGCGGGGACACCAGCCCTTTCTAGGACAGAGTAGTTTGCCATGTGGCAGGGGCACTGCCCGTAGAGTCAGAGTGGCCAGAAAAGAGGCTGGTAGGGTTTCAGGGCCCTGTTTCCAGCATGAACTCGAGATCTTCAGGGGAGAGGAGCATAAGCAGAGTTAGGTTTGATCTGCACTGGGCGGCCCTGGGTGGAGCAGGCCAAAGCTGGAGGCAGAGAAGCATCCCACTGCTGCCCAGCAGCCTGGTGACTGCCGGGGACCTGAGGAGGTGCAGGCCCCCACAGGAGGCAGGTGGGTGCCTGGGTGAGCCGTGCACTCATTCGGCAAGAACTGCACTGTGGAGACTTTGCAGAGCAGGTCCCTCTGGGCACCCAGATACAGGATGAGTGCCAGCCCTGCATTTGCAGCATAATACGTTTCTTCATGAACATGTGTCCAGAAATCAGATCTGAGGAACTTCTGCAGTGGATTTATAAATCTGAACAGGAAGTTCCTGACCAAGGAGGTACAGCCTTACAGTGTCATGTTTCAAATGTGTTCTTTTACAGAAGTAGCTAATTAAAGTTACAGATTTGTCACTTTGGCCCGCCTTTACTTTTCTTATTTTTCCTCGTCTATTAAATTCACGAGGCTGACATTTATCACTATCATGAACACTTTGAATTTATTTCCATTTTCTATGCCTACTAATAGGATAATAAAGGCAAGATGCAATAAATAACAGTTCAAACTTAGATTGCTATAAGCTAAAATAGGCCCCACACGGGACTGTAAGCTTGTTTTAAACAGCAGTGTCTGAACGTCAATGCCTCTCACATAGCCCGGCAGCACCCTGCCCGTCTCCCAGCTCCACAGCCTCGGGGGCAGGCAGGCAGAGTGGCCCACATGGCCCAGCACCCAGTTAGGCTCCTAGGGAGTATTTGGGGAAGAAGTGACTGGATGGATGACTGAATTCAAAGCTACTGAAAGCAAGAAGAGTTTGAAGTAGCTTGCTTGCCCTCCACATCTCATGGGACCCTCTTCGCAAATAGGAGGTTATGTAGGATCCATTGGATAAAAGTGGGACTTGCAGTGGAAGCCAAGGCAGGGGCTGGAGTGGGGCTCGCCCCCCAGGGCAGCCGGGCTGTGGCTGTGCTAAGGAAACGGAAAGGACCGGGGGGGAGGGGGGGGTGCCTCCTAGTGCAGGCACTGAGCCACATTTCCTGCTGGGTCTGCAAATGGGGACCTTGAGCAGGGGTGGATGTTATGTGGACATTCATGGTGGTCGGTCTGCCGTGTTATGTATTTATGGTTTGAGCAGGAACCTTCAGTTTCAGATGCTGCAGTTTAGGACAGATGAGCTTATCCCTGACCTATGGGCACGTGGAGGGCCAGGGAGGAATCCGTGTGCCAGCTCAGCTGGTGTCAGAAATGCCCCCGGGGCCTCTACTGTGCTGCTGATGGTTTGTTACCATCATTTTGCTTTAAAATGTGTGTCTTTTTGTCAACAGTTGGAGCAGAGCCAGAAGGAGGCCTCAGACCTTTTGGAGCAGAACCGGCTCCTGCAGGACCAGCTGAGGGTGGCTCTGGGCCGGGAGCAGAGTGCCCGGGAGGGCTATGTGCTGCAGGTAGGGCTGAGGGGCTGCGGGCGCTCAAGATGCTCTTGGGAACTTGAGTGCAAGGGCCCTGGCAGGCTAGAAATGCACACACCGGCCTGAGCACACAGGACCGCGGCCCTAGTGCCCTGGGCCATGTGTATTTCCCTCCTGGTATTACATTTTGGAGAATCTGCCTGAAACTTCTGTGTCTAAGGTTTTTTCTTTGTTTTTTTAATAAAATAGTTTTGGTGGTTTTTCCTTTGGGCTCTCAAAGTAATCCAATATATTTGTTATAGATACTATATATTTGCATGTCATTTCTAATAGTTTTTGCAAAAGCAGTATTTGGCCTGTTTTGATTACAGATTGAAGAAATTGAGTGACATAGCCACCAAGTGCCTCATTAAGACCAAGTTAGTGGCAGAGCCAGCTCTGGATCACCTGTCCTGCCTTTGTACCACATCTACAGGCAGACCTGGGCTATTACCACTCGCCCAGTGGACCCATTCCTTTCTCCCTACCTAGACTGAAGTTTCAGGGGGAAACATGGCCGCCCAGCCCTGAGCCAGCCCACACCGCCAGCCTAGAAGGGGAGAGGAGGCCCCGAGCGTGGGTCCTCAGCTGAGAGCCCACACCCAGTGTCCAGGACCAGAGGTCTCTGGGCCACAGCCCTGGTCAGCAGGCAGAGTCACAGAGAGCAGCAGGCACTACTAGGGGTGCCTCACTTGGCAGTAGGTAGGTCAGCTGGGCAGGGTGGACTGGTGTGTGCTCTGTCGAAGGCCCTGTTCTGTTCTGGGGCACAAAACAGCACACTCCCTGCCCCCCGGAGTGATGTGCTGCTGGGGAGAGGCGACTGACAAATGAGTACTGGGAAACGCAAAATGGGCAGTGGAATGGGCTGTCTGCCAAGGCCAAGGACTGGCTGCAAGCGCAGGCCCTGACACTGACCCGCAGATGCCAGTGTCCCCTCCCCACCGCACTAGCCTCTGCTGTGTGGACGTAGACCTTGTCCCCGAGGCCCTTCCAGCTCTCAGTGACTGTGCCAACATTTCCAGATCACCATGCCTTGCCCGCCTCAGTCCCGGTCCTCCAGGGCAGCACGTGAACCTTCTGGGCAGAGCCTGCCTTCCTGCCTCTGTCCATACTGCTGTGGTTGCATGTTCCCTCTGCCTTCTCTTCCTCTCATTTCTCTTTTCCCTCAGCTTTAGCTGTGGCCCTGGGCGCACTGTGTGCCCTGCACCCTCCTCCCCAGCCCTTTCAGCTGTACTTATTGCTGTGCCCAGTTCAGACTCTCGGGCACCAGGAGCTGGTGATGGTGGGCATTCTTCTTTTGTGCACAGTTCACTCAGGGCATTCTGATCATTCATGCAGAACCTCCAAATTTGGAGAGCATCTTTTTAAACCTGGGTTGGGCCCCTATCCTACACAGATTCCCTTTCACTTCATCAGGCGGTAAAGATAGTAGCAGCAGATTGTGCACATTGCTAACCTAAGAACCTACCTCTGTCTCTAACTTGGATGATTGCATGAGCCTGCACCCAAGCCCCTGTCAGTCGGCACTGGGCAGAGCTGGCTTCTGAATACCTTCCCACAAAGTCTAATAGCAGGTTGCTCGTACCCTCCCTTTGTGCTTTGGGAAAGAACCGGGCCTTAGGGATTGAGGGTCAGAAGGAGTTTGCCTGGGATGGGCGCTGCGCTGCTTGTTCTGGGAGGAGGAGCTTGCATGGTTTGGACTTGCTGTGGAGTATAACCAATAACGGAACTGAGTGTCACATCTGTGGCTTCCCCGCCGACTGAAAGGGGCCACAGGCAGGTCAGGTTCTCAGGCTGGGCTGTTCTCACGTCTGTTCATGTTTCCCCTGATTAATAGTCTGTCTGTCCTGCATGCCTTTCTGTTTGGGGAGTTTGTTCCATTTGTGTTCTGTTTTGTTTTGTGCTGCGTCACTTATTTTGACTTCCATGAAGGTGTGTTTTGTTGGTATCATATCTTACTCCATGGGTTTCGCTTCCCCTCGTTTTGTCTTCTTACAGGTAGAGACTCGTTCCTCCTGTCACTGAGGACGAGCTCCACTTCCGAAAGGAAAGTGCTCGGTGTCACCTGCTGCCTCCTTCCTTCTCTCCTGTCCTAGAAGGAAGGGGCCTCTCCCGCACCCTTACCCTGTGCTTTTCCAAGGTTTATTGTCTAGAGCTGTGTACCTTTTGTTTTGTACAACAAACAGATGCCATGCTCTGCTCCCCCTCCTCCCACCCGTCTCGTCTTTAGTCTCTGTTTTGCTTACCCGTATGTTCCATCATTCAGTTGTGTTTGGTTTACTTCTCCTAGAAGCCATTTGGTTAGAGTTGTTTTGATGTTGTTATCCATGTTTTCTGTTTACCTGGAAGCAGCACTTATCAAAATAATTAAGATGATTTGTTGGATTGCTTATTTAATGAAAAAAATTGTGCAAAGGATAAAAGGCAAACCCACCAAGGAGCTTTTCTGTGACTGACCCTGGCCAGAGGTGTGACACTCAGAACTAGGATGCCCGAGTGTTACTAACCAGTGTTTAATCGGTTTTTTTAAGACTGAAGTGGCCACCTCCCCATCTGGCGCCTGGCAGAGGCTCCACAGAGTCAATCAAGATCTGCAAAGGGAGCTGGAGGTCCAGTGCCGGCGCCAGGGGCTGACTACGCAGCAGACCCAGGCCCTGAAGTGCAGCTACGGGGAGGCTGAGGATGCAGTCCGGCACCATGAGGCCGAAATCCGCAGCCTCCAGGCGAGGCTCAGCACCGCTGCCGCCGAGCTCACCTTCAAGGAACAGGCACTGGCCCAGCTCAAGGGGGACCTGAAACTGGAGAAGGACAAGGCCCGTGAGCACTTGGAGGAGTGGCAGCACAGCAAGGCCGTGCTGAGCGGTCAACTTCAGGCCAGCGAGCAGAAGCTCAAGAGTGCAGAGGCCCTGCTGCTGGAGAAGACGCGGGAGCTGCGGGACCTGGAGACGCAGCAGGCGCTGCAGAGAGACCGGCAGAAGGAGGTGCAAAGGCTGCAGGAGCGCATCGCAGACCTCAGCCAGCAGCTCAGTGCTAGCGAGCAGGCCCAGCGGCTGATGGAGGAGAAGCTGCAGAGGAACTACGAGCTGCTGCTGGAGAGCTGTGAGAAGGAAAAGCAGGCATTGCTGCAGAACCTGAAGGAGGTGGAGGACAAGGCCAGTGCCTACGAGGACCAGCTCCAGGACCACGAGCAGCAGGTGGAGGCCCTCCAGAGGGAAAAGTTAAGCGCCAGGTCTGAGGGCAGCCAGGCGGTGCGCCAGCTGGAGGAGCAGCTGCAGGTGAAGGAGGCCAGCCTCCAGACGCTGGCCCAGCACGTCCAGAGCCTCAGGGATGAGCGGGACCTGGTCCGGCAGCGGTTCCAGGAGCTGACAGAGCGTGTCGCCCTGTCTGATGGGGATGTTGCGGAGCTTCAGCAGAAGCTGCAGGGCAGGGAGGCCGACTACCAGAGCCTGGAGCATGCCTACCAGAGGGTGGCCAGCCAGCTCCAGGGCATGCACACCCTGCTGAGAGAGAGGGAGGAGGAGCTGAGGCACATCAAGGACATGCATGAGAAAGTTCTGGAAAAGAAAGATCAGGCCCTCAATGAGGCTTTGGTTAAAATGGTTGCCTTGGGGAGCAGCTTAGAGGAAACAGAAATGAAGCTCCAGACAAAGGAAGAGATTTTAAGGAAATTTACCAAGGCATCTTCAGAGGAAGTAGAGGAGCCGCAGAGCTCCCTGGGAGAAGCAGAGGATGGCTTTGCGCTTTCGGGCCTGCAGCTCCCAGCCTCAGGCACATCCCCAGGCTGCCCACACTTGAGGCTTGAGGATGAGGACCCAGGGGCTGCCCTTAAGGAGAAACATGGGCACAGCAGCCCCAGGAGAGAAGTGAGCATGATGCCCCCGAAGTCAGAAGTGCCTGAGAAGGAGGGGCACTCGTGGAACACAGCAAAATGTGAGCAGTGTGTACCCGGCATTAAAAGGCAAAGAATCCGGTTCTCCACGATCCAGTGCCAGAAATACACCCACCCCGATGGGTCCGAGAAGACCTGGACCAGCAGCACGTCTTCCGACACCAGTCAGGACCGGTCACCCTCCGAGGAGAGCATGTCGTCAGAGGCCACCCTCAGCTCTGTCCCTGCAACCAGCGACTCTGATACCTACCTCTCCATAATACACTCCCTGGAGACCAAGCTCTACATCACAGAAGAGAAGCTCAAAGATGTGACGGTGAAGCTGGAGAGCCAGCAGGGCCAGAGCCAGGAGGCCCTGCTCACACTACACCACCAGTGGGCTGGCACTGAGGCCCGGCTCCGCGAGCAGCTCCGCGCCAGCCTGCTCCAGGTTGGCACACTGGCCTCCCAGTTGGAGCAGGAGAAACAGGCCAGGGCGAAGATCATTGAAAATCACGTAGGGGAGCTTGGCAATTTCCAGGTAAAAAACACGCAGGCCCTTGCTTGCTTAGAAAATTGCCGAGAACAGCTACGGTCTCTGCCAAGGTCTGGCCAGGAGGAAGCCCCGGGGGCAGGAGCAGGCCCCCTGGCCAGCGTGGAGAGCGTGCTAGTAAGCGCCATCCAGGCTCTGCGTCACTGGCCAGCCCCTGCAGACAGCGGGTCCCAAACTCCGTTGGAAGAAGAGAGCTTCCTGGAGAGAGGGAAGGAGACTCTGCGGCAGCCGTCCCCGCAGCCGGAGCTGACCGAGCAGGAGCAGCTGAAGCTTCTTGCTGATCAAATAGCTCTGGAAGCCTCTCTGATAAATCACATAGCAGACTCTTTAAAAAACACAACGTCAGATATCTCGCACGTTCTCGATGAGGTTTCTCAGTCAGGAAAGTTGCCCCTGGAGTCTGGGAGTGCAGTCTGTCTGGGGGCCCCAGCAGACACCTGGGCTAAGAAGGTGCTGGTGGATGGTGAATTCTGGAGCCGGGTTGAGTCCCTGAGTAAGCACCTGGGGACAGTGGGGGGAGAGGCAGCCAGTGCATCAGGAGGTGGGCAGCAGAGCATCCCACCAGCCCTGGTCCCCACCCTGGCAGACGCCACGTGGGTCAGGGCGGAGCTTAGCTTTGCTGTGCAGTCAGTGAGGGAGTCATTCCACCGTCGGTTGCAGAGCATTCGGGAGACTCTCCGGGGGACCCAGGCAGCCCTGCGGCAACATAAGCACGCACTGGAAGAAATCCTGGGAGCATACCGAACCCCTGACTTTGAGAGGGTGATGCAGCAGGTCGCAGAGGCCCTCAAGCTCCCAGCAGGCACTGCAGAAGGTGTCCAGGCTCCCTGGGACTTGAGCCCATTAAGAGAAGAACTGAGTCATCAAGACACAGCTGGCTTCCAGGAGCCCTTCCACTTCTCGGACCAGAGCTCTGGGGCCTTCGTTGGGATTCAGGAAGAACTCGCCCTGCAGCTTAAAGATAAAGCCCGCCTCTTAGGAGAGATATCTGCCTCTTTAACTTCTCTTCCCCCTGTGGAATCCATAAGAGATTGTCAGAAGCTTCTTCAGGTGTCCCGGAATCTCTCCTGTAACACTTATTTGGGAGGCCTTGGTCAGTATTCTTCATTATTAGTTAAAGATGCAATTATTCAGGCTCAGGTGTGTTATGCAGCCTGCAAAATTCGGCTGGAGTATGAAAAAGAGCTTCAGTACTACAAGGAGTCCTGGCAGAGCAGGGGGGCCTCCTGCCAGGAGCACGAGCAAGCTGTCGGAGCCCTGAAGGAGGAGTACAAGGAACTTCTCCGGAAGCAGAAGAGTGAGTACCTGGAAGTGATTGCCATCATTCAAAGGGAAAATGCAGAGCTCAAGGCCCAGGTCACCCAGCTAGACCAGCAGCAGAGGTATCTGGAGGAAGTGGAGAGCAAGCACAATGAGAACATGTTTGCCCTGCAAGGAAGGTACGAGGAGGAGATCCGGTGTGTGGTGGAGCAGTTGAACAGAGCCGAGAATACACTGCAGGCTGAGCACAGCCGAGTCCTGAGCCAGCTGGATGCCTCAGTCAGAGACAGGCAGGACATGGAGAGGCACCATGTGGAGCAGATGCAGACCCTGGAGGACAAGTTCCAGCTCAAGGTCAAAGAGCTACAGACCATCCACGAGGAAGAGCTAAGGACCTTGCAGGAGCACTACTCCCAGAACCTACAGTGCCTGCAGGAGACCCTCTGCCACTATCAGGGCCAGCCGCCGGAAGCCTTGCTGGCCAGCAGCCCCCACCAGCCCCCTTCCTCCACCTGGCCAGTTGGCCAGCCCAGGGATGCTCTGCAAGTAGCCACTGGGGAGGCCGACTCCATGGTGGGGCTGAGGGAGCGCATCCAGGAGCTGGAGGCTCAGATGGACATCATGCGGGAGGAGCTGGAGCACAAGGACCTGGAGGGTGACACGGCCACGCTGCGAGAGAAGTACCAGAAAGACTTCGAGAACCTTAAGGTTTCGAAGCATCGTTTAATTTGCAAAGCAGTCGAGGGGCAGGCACTCTCTTGCTAGTTGAGAGTCAGTGTGGGACTCTCGGGGTGGAGCTGGGAGACAGTTCTTGGCCCTGAGTTCCTGTATAAGCAGAATTTATTCAACATTTTGTTCCTTCCTCAACTCCTTGCTCATGATGGCGTGGCCTCAGAGCAGGGCCTTGGTTAGGGTCTAGCATCCTGTTCCACATCCCCCACCAGGAAAGAGGACTAGCAGAACAGGATCATTGGCGAGAGGGAGTGTAGTCTCCCATCCCTTCCCGCCTGCTTCTCACAGCCCCTCACCGCCTCGCCTGCTTCCCACCCCAACAGCCCACCTGTGGCTGGTGCAAACTACACTGAAGAAAAGCCTGGGATAGATGGGCCAGAGGCACCCTTTGAGGGATGTCTCTTAACTGTTGTAGGAGAGCAGAGTTTGGGGAGCCTGAAAGATAGGAATATTGACAAGACAGTGCCGAGAGCCACACTCCTGTTCCAACTCTGTAGGGAACTGGTGTTTAGTGGGCACCTAGGTAAGGACTAGGGAGCACAGCTTTCAGTGCTGGTACTTCTCAGGAGCTTTGAGAAAGAACCTTTTCTTGTCACTGTCTCCCACACTCCTAACCTGTTTCTCATTATGCAGAATACCCAGGCCCTGGCACTCAAAGGTGACAATTCCAGGCCCACAGGCATTAGATTCTGTGAAGCGGTCCAGCTTCTCGCCCATCCCCTTCATAACCAGAGGCACCTGTGTGCATGCATGTGGCTGATCCCCTAAGCTTCTCGGCGTTATCCTCTTGGGCTGCTTGCCATCCCTTGGAGCTACACCCCACAAATGCTTACGTCCCTCACAAGCCCTTAGTCTCGGCAGGCCCGAGGTGACACTCCCTTCCGTGCAGCACAGAGCTGGCTCCGGGCTGCAAATGCTGCTTTGCTGCTGCTGAGCAAGCTGCCACGGCTGTGCTCCCAGCAGTGCACTCCTCCAGGTCCGGCAGGAAAGCGTAAGTGTGCTCTGTGTTGGCAGCACATTCTTACCTTTGTGACAGCACAGCCACTCCCAGCAAGCCCGTGTGGTGGCCAGCAAACACGCAGGCCAAGAGGCCGCCTTCGCTGTGCTTGTGCTGAGTCAGTCAGAAACATTTGGAAACCATCGTGAATCACGGGAGAGCTTCCAGGGCTCTTTCCCGGAAGTGCCCTGTGGCAGTCGGTGCCTGTGATCGCAGTGCTCAGGTGGGGCTTTCAAAGTAATTTGCACCAGCACTGTCCTGGTGCCTTCCCTACTCACAGGGCCCCGCAGCTTTTCACAGCACCCAGCAGGTCTGTGAGCAGGTGCCTGGGCGCATCCACAGCTCAGGCTCACAGGAGCCACAGTGAACTGCTTCCTGTCAGCTCCACCAAAGCCTCCTGCACGGTGAGGCTGTCCAGCTCCCACGGCAGTCAGCTGGGCGTAGATAAGGCTTTGGCCAAAGGGGTGACATCGTACCACCAGTTAGCAAGCCATCAGAAGGGTAACACTGTTTTGTGTGGACAACTGGCTATAGATGGTGCTGGGGCCCAGTGTCCCCTTGCTGTGACATAGCTCCATGGTATTCTCATTGACAACCTTGAGACACACAGAAATTACAACCAAATAGCACTCTCCTGGGGACCCGGCTAATGCTACTACTTTGTGCAGATTTTTGCCCGGGTTGGGGAGATTGGGATCTGTGCCTGATGGCCACTCTACTATAGCCATAGGCTGTTGCCTTCCCTCATGAATCTGCATAGTAGTCATTGATCCCAGCGATTATTGGCTTAAAAATTAAAATGTTTATTGATTTTTTTTTTTACCAACACATGCTCTCCAGGGAAGCAGCCAATCTTTAAAGACACCTCAGAGTTTCTGTAGGAACAATTTTGACCATTATTTAGCTACTGGAGGCCCGGTGCACAAATTTGTACACCAGTGGGGTCCCTTGGCCTGGCCTGCTGGATCAGGCCGAAACCAGCTCTCCAACATTCCCCGAGGGATCCCGGATTGCGAGAGGGCGCAGGCCAGGCCAAGGGACCCCACTGGTGCACGATCGGGGCCGGGAGGGACTTGGGAGGTTGGCCAGCCAGAGAGGGACCGCAGTAGGGTTCCAGGGCATGTCCAGCCTGACTTGCTTAGTCCTGATTGGCCAGACCCCAACAGCAAGCTAACCTACCGGTCAGAGTTTCTACCCCCTGGTGGTCAGTGCATGTCATAGCGAGCTTTTGAGTGGCCTTAGCATATCATTAGCATATTACACTTTGATTGGTTGAATGGTTGACCGGACACATAGCATATTAGGCTTTTATTATATAGGATTCTAAAGCACTCAAATCAAACTAATACTTACGAGATCTACTAGCTCTGTGTTAACTGAGAAGCCATATGTGAACCAAAGCACCAGGGAGAGAGAAGACGATGGGTTCCGAGCACACAAGGGTCCGAGCCACAGCTCGAGGGTTCCTCCACCGTCCTTTGGTGTGAGGTGGTGGAAGGAGACCACCGGCTGCCAGAAGGAGCCTCTGGGGAAAGTAATGCCCAGTTAATGGTGAACACAGTTAAAACCATATCCCCTTTGCAGCAAATCTGCTGCAGTGAAATCCAGACTCTGATCATGAGTTTAGAAAAACTGAACTGAGGCCCTCAGGAAAGCCTCACAGTTACTGTGGGGGCTCAGACACCCGGGTGGGTTTGTTTTTTGTTTTTTCTTAAATCCATGTATCTTCTTGGGAAGATAGAGCCTCCACTTGCATTTGGAATGGATCATAGCCACATTCTTCCACTTTTTAAAAACCACTGGAAGGCCTGATCCCTATTCAGAAACAGATTTTGCAAGGGATTTAGACAGAAAGTGTGACTCCGTGCACAAAACAGCTACACAGACCTCCTTACATCTGTGGGGCACACTCACCTGCCCTGTTAAGAACAGCTGATAAGCCAGGCCTGGACTTCCCGGTGTAGCGTGTGGGATGGTTGGATCCCTTCTTAGGGATCCTGTGTCCTTCCCCTGCACTCCTGTGTGCCCATGTAATAAACTGCCCCAGCCTGTAACAGGTGTAGACAAGTTGGAGAGCAGTTTTTCTGTTATGTGTCCCAGCGTATTAGTGGAGTCACTAATTACTGCCCCTCTGTACTCCTTCAAAGAAAATAGAAGGAAGACAGGTTGGAAGGGAAGAGAGCACGTAGCCTAATGTAACCCCTCGTGGGCACCACAGAGGTGTGAGCAGATGAGGGGGGCCAGCTCGTCAGTGCAGGGCCAGCCCCATGGAGCCTCAGCTCACAAAGTCATGACTATGACTTACTTGTGAAATGCCCAGTTTGTGACTGACAGTGCTACTTACTGTATGAACTCAAATCAGACACGGCCAGCCTCTGCAAATTCTCCTCTCTCCCTCTTGTCAGTCCGACCTGGCAGTAATTCTATCAGGGCCCAGAATTGGCTGTCTTAGATTCCACTGCAGCCTCTTCCCACCCACAATACCAACTCATTCCACAGGATTCAGAACAGTCATAGAAATAAGACAATTTACAGATATAAACACCCTTTTCTAAGTGCTCTGATAGCATCAGTGAGAGTCTCCAGACAGCTGTCAGGTGGCCCCGCTGGCTCAGTGCTCGCCTTCAGAGAGCGTATTCCTCGAGAACAGGAAGTCTGAGAGCAGGCGGGCTGCCGGCTTATCAAACAGGATGCCCGACTTAGAGGTGGTGAAACAAATTGATCGAGCTCCTTTGCATCTTGCAGGCCACCTGCGAACGAGGGTTTGCAGCAATGGAAGAAACGCACCAGAAGAAGATTGAAGATCTCCAGAGGCAGCACCAGCGAGAGCTGGAGAAACTGCGAGAGGAAAAAGACCGCCTCCTGGCTGAGGAGACTGCAGCCACCATCTCAGGTGGGAGCTGGCAGGTGGTGGGTTAGCCGGAGGGCAGGACAGGTGGAGGACTCCCGGAGCTGGCGGCACAGCGCAGTTAGGACTGCTCTTCGTGCTGTCATTGGGTTAAGATTTAAGCTTCCTGATCCAAGGATATTTTATTTTATTTTTCAATTGCGGTTTACATCCCATATTAGTTTGTGTTCATTTCAGCTCTGTAGCATAGTGGTTAGACAGTCACTTTACAACGTATCCCCTCCAATACTTCCAGTCCCCACCTGGCACCACATGTAGTAATTACAATATTATTATTTTTCAAAAATATATTTTATTGATTCCTTACAGAGAGGAAGGGAGAGGGATAGAGAATTAGAAACATCGATGAGAGAGAAACACTGATCAGCTGCCTCCTGCACATCTCCCCACTGGGGATGTGCCCGCAACCAAGGTACATGCCCTTGACCGGAATCGAAACTGGGACCCTTCAGTCCGCAGGCCGACACTCTATCCACTGAGCCAAACCGGCCAGGGCTGTAATTACAATATTATTGACTATATTCCCTATGCTGTACCTTACATCCCCATGACTTTTGTAACTACCAATTAGTACTTCTTAATCCCTTCACCTTTTTCACCTTGTCCCTGAACCCCATCCTATCTGGCAACCATCAGTCTGTTCTCTATATGTATAAACGTGTTTCTGTTTTGTTGTTCACTTAGATTCCACATATAAGTGAAATCATGGTATTTCTCTTTCTCTGACTGACTTAGTTCACTTAGCATAATACCCTCTAAGTCCATCCATGCTGTCTCAGATAGTAAGATTATGACTGAGTAACGTTCCATTGTGTGTGTGTATATGAATGTGTGTGTGTGTGTGTGTGTGTGTGTGTGTGTGTGTGTGTGTGTGTATCTCCCAGCTTTTTAGCCAGTCATCTGTTGCTGGGCACTTGGGTTGCTTCCATATCTTAGCTATTGTAAATAACACTGCAGTGAGCATAGCAGTGGATAAACTCTTTTGAATTAGTGCTTTGGGTTTCTTCAGATACATACCCAGAAGTAGAATCATTGGGTTATAAGGAAGTGCCATTTTTAATTTTTTGAGGACCCTCCGTACTGTTTTTCATAGTGACTGCACCCGTCTACATTCCCACCAACAAGACACAAGGGTTTCCTTTTCTCCACATACTTGCCAACACTTGTTTGTTGATTTACTGATGGTAGCCATTCTGACAAGTGTGAGGTGATACCTCATTGTGGTTTTAATTTGCATTTCTCTGTTGATTAGTGACTTTAAGCATGTTTTCATATATCTATTGGCCATCTGTATGTCCTCTTTGGAGAATTGTCTATTCAGGTCCTCTGACCATCTATTAATTGGATTGTTTGGTTTGGGGTGTTGAGTAGTATGAGTTCTTTATAAAATTTTGGATGTTAACCCTTTATATCATTGGCAAATATCTTCTCTTCAGTAGGTTGTCATTGCATTTCGTTGATGGTTTACTTTGCTGTGCCAAAACTTTAGTTTGATATAGTCCCATTTGTTTATTTTTCTTTTGTTTTTCTAGCCCGAGGAGATATATCAGAAAAAAATGATAAGAGAAATATCTGACATTTTACTGCCTGAAATATTACAGAATTGTAAAAATTTTGAATATTAATCCCTTATTAGATATGTCTTGGTAAATATCTTTTCCCATTCAATAGGTTGTCTTTGTTTTTTAAAAAATATTTTATTTATCTATCTATCTAACCTCATCTGAGGATATGCTTATCGATTGAGAGAGAGAGAGAGAAACATCAATTGGTTGTCTTCCATACATGCTCCGAAAAAAGATCAAACACATAGCCTTTTGGTATATGGTTGATGCTCCACACAGGCCAGGGCAGTGTTTTTTAATTTTATTTAATTTTTATTATTAAATCGTTATTGTTGAAAGTATTATGTATGTCCCCCTTTTCCCCATTGACCCCCTCTAGCCCGCCCCTGCCCCCACCCCAGTCTTTCACCACCCTATTTGTCTGTGTCCATGGGTTATGCATATATCCATACCAGGTTTTGATTAATTACCTCCCACCCACCCTACTCCCCCGCCTTCCCCCCAAGATTCCGCACTCTGTTCCATGCTTCCATGTCTCTGGATCTATTCTGTTTATCAGTTTATTTTGTTAATTAGATTCCACATATGAGTGAGATCGTGTGATACTTGTCTTTCTCTAACTGGCTTATTTCTCTTAGCATGATACTCTCCAGGTCCCTCCATGCTGTCTCAAAGGGTAAGAGATTCTTCTTTTTTACTGCTGCGTAGTATTCCATGGTGTAAATATACCACAGCTTTTATCCACTCATCTACTGATGGGCACTTGGCTGATTCCAGATCTTAGCTACTGTAAATTGTGCTGCTATGAACATAGGGGTGCACACATTCTTCCTGATTGGTGTTTCGGGTCTCTTAGGATGTATTCCTAAAAGTGGGATCACTGAGTCAAATGGCAGTTCCATATTTAATTTTTTGAGGGAACTCCATACTGTTTTCCATAATGGCTGCATCAGTCTGTATTCCTACCAGCAGTGCATTAGGGTTCCCTTTTCTCCACATCCTCGCCAGCACTTGTCATTTGTGGATTTGTTGATGGTAGCCGTTCTGACAGGTGTGAGATGATGCCTCATTGTTGTCTTAATTTGCATCTCTCTGATGATCAGTGACTTTGAGCATTTTTTCATATGTCTCTTGGCCATCTGTATGTTCACTTTGGAGATTTTTTAATTGGATTGTTTGTCTTCCTTTTGTTAAGGTGTATGAGTTCCTTATATATTTTGGAAATTAACCCTTTATCAGATGGATCATTGCCAAATAAGCCTCCCATGCAGTGGGCTTTCTTGTTGTTTTGTTGATGGTTTCTTTTGCTATGCAGAAGCTTTTCATTTTGATGTAGTCCCATTTGTTTATTTTCTCCTTAGTTTCCTTTGCCCTAAGATGTATCCATAAACATATTGCTATAAGAGATGTCTGAGATTTTGCTTCCTATGGTTTCTTCTAGGATTTTTATGGTTCCACAACTTAATTTTAAGTCTTTTATCCATTTTGAGTTTATTCTTGTGTATGGTTTAAGTTGGTGGTCTAGTTTCATTTTTTTGCATGTATCTGCCCAATTTTCCCAGCACCATTTATTGAAGAGACTGTCTTGACTCTATTGTATACTCTTGCCTCCTTTGTCAAATATTAATTGAGCATAATGGCTTGGGTCGATTTCTGGGGTCTCTGTTCTGTTCCATTGATATGTATGCTTGTTCTTGTGCCAGTACCAGGCTGCTTTGATTACAGTGGTTTTGTAGTATAACTTGATATCTGGTATTGTGATTCCTCCAACTTTGTTCTTCTTTCTCCAGATTGCTGCAGCTCTTCGGGGTCCTTTTTGGTTCCATATAAATTTTTGGAGTGTTTGTTCTAGGTCTGTGAAATATGCTGTTGGGATTTTAATAGGAATTGCATTGAATCTGTAGATTACTTTGGGTAGCATGGACATTTTAATGATGTTGATTCTACGAATCATTAAACACGTTATATTTTCCCACTTGTTTATATCTTCTTCTCTCTCTTTTTTCAATGTCCTTTAGTTTTCCGAGTACAAGTCTTTTATCTCCTTGGGTGAAGTTTATTACTAAGTATCTTAATTTTTTGGTTGCCAAGGTAAATGGGAATGTTTGTTTAGTTTCTCTTTCTGAGAATTCATAATTAGTGTATAAAAAAGCCATTGATTTTTGGGTGTTGGATTTTGTATCCTGCTACATTGCCAAATTCATTTATAAAATCTAGTTGGTTTTTGGTGGAGTCTTTATGGTTTTCTATGTACAGTATCATGTCGACTGTGAATAATGAGAGTTTTACTTCCTCCCTTCCAATTTGGATGCCTTTTAGTTCTTCTTCTTGTCTGATCGCTGTGGCTGGGGCTTCCAGTACTATGTTGAATAAGAGTGGTGAAAGCGGACATCCCTGTCTTGTTTCTGTTCTTAGGGAAATGGTTTTAGTTTTTGCCCATTGAGTATGATATTGGCTATAGGTTTGTCATATATGGCCTTTATCATGTTGAGATATGCTCCCTCTATCCCACTTTGCTGAGAGTTTTTATAAACATGGCTGTTGGATTTTGTCAAATGCTTTTTCTGTCTGTTGATGTGATCATGTGATTTTTGTCTCTCAATTTGTTTATGTGATGTATCACATTTATTGATTTGCAAATATTATACCAGCCTTGCATCCCCAGAATAAATCCCACTTGGTCATGATGTATGACCTCTTTAATATATTGCTGGATCCGCTTTGCTAATATTTTGTTGAGGATTTTAGTATCTATGTTCATCAGAGATATTGGCCTGTAATTCTCTTTCTTTGTAGTGTCTTTATCTGGTTTTGGAATTAGGATAATGCTGGCCTCATAAAAAGAGCTTGGAAGTGTTCCTTCCTCTGGATTTTTTGGAATAGTTTGAGGAGGACAGGTGTTCTTCTTTGAATGTTTGGTAAAACTCCCCTGTGAAACCATTCGTTCCTGGGATTTTGTTGGCTGGGAATTCTTTTATTACTGCTTCTATTTCATCAGTTGTTATTGGCCTATTTAACTGGAGTGCTATGAACTTCCCTCTCAGGACTGCTTTTGCTGTGTCCCAAAGATTTGGGGTGGTTGTATGTTCATTTTCATTTGTTTCCAGGAAGTTTTTTTCTTTCTTTCTTGATCTCATTGGTAACCCATTCATTGCTTAAGGACATGCTATTTATATTTAGCCTCCATGTGTCTGAATGTTTTTCAGTGTTTTTACTGTAGTTGATTTCTAATTTCATTCCACTGTGATCTGAGAAGCTGCTTGACAACATTTCACTCTTCTTGAACTTGTAGAGACGTGTTTTGTGTCCTAACATGTGGTCTGTCTTTGTGAAGAACCCATGTGCACTTGAAAAGAATGCATATTCTGCAGCTTTGGGGTGAAACGTTCTATAAATGTCAATTAAATTCATTGGATGCAC